GGCTGCGCGCTTGGCTGCTGGAGGTGTGAGAGGAGGGCGTGTTAACCACGTGGACAATGGAGGAGGTGGTGATGATAGTGATGGTGGGCTCCTTGGGCATGGAGGGGCTGAGTTACCAAGTGTAACTCCTAGCACGGGTGAGACGGATTGGCTCACCGCACACCGTCGCTTTGGCCACGTGGAGCTACCTCAGTTGCAGCAGCTGTTCAAGGAGGAAAGAGTCAAGGGGCTGAGGATTAAGGGGGAGCCCAAGGAGGTGGGATCTTGTGAGACTTGCTTGACCAGCAAGTTTTCACGGTTTCCCTTCCATTCGGTGGAGGGGAAGTCGAGCGACCCGGTGGAGCTCGTGCATGTGGATCTCGTGGGACCCATGAAGGTGAAGGGAGATGGTGGGGCCCTGTATTCCATGACCATGGTGGATGACAACACAAGGCTCACCTGGTCCTTTCCACTTGCAAAGGAAAATGATGCTGCAAGGATCATCATTGAAGAGTGGCTGCCCTTGGTGGAGCGAGAGAGCGGCAAGCGGGTGAAGGCGATTCGTAGCGACCGTGGTAGGGAGTTCTTGGGAGCGGAGTTCCGGAGCTGGCCGAAGCGGCACGGCATCAAGCAGCAGCTCACCACGGCCTACACTCCTCAATCCAATGGCGTGGCAGAGAGAGCGAACCGGACCATCATGGAGGGTGGGAGAACGATGTTGGTAGACTCGGGTCTACCCTTACGATTCTGGCCCCTCGCTATTCGTCATGCCACCGTCATCAAGAACCGAGTATTGACTCATGTGGGAGGGCAACATTGGGTCCCTATGGAGAAGTGGAGAGGCAAGAAGCCCTTGGTGGATATGCTTCGAGTCTTCAGGTGCATGGGACTCGTGCACGTCCCTAAGGAGAAGCGTGACAAGCTTCAAGCGGCGGCGGCGTGGGCTGTTCATTTGGGACTTGCACAAGGGAGCAAGGGGTGGCTCATGTGGGACCCAAAAGCCAACACCATCTTCACCACCAGAGATGCCAAGTTCATGGAGGGGCTCATGTTCAAGGAGTGGTTGGAGCGAGGGAGGAGCAAGGTCACCATTCCGCTCGGAATAGAGGTGGGAACGAATGACCCACTCCTCAATCTCATCGAGTTGTCTTCATCTTCAGAGGTAACGGAGGTGTCACATGACTTGGGAGGTGCTGAAGGGGAGGCAGCATAGGTGGAGGGAGTGTTGCAGCAAGAGGCGGCCCCTGTAGCTGAGAGAGGTGCTGCCGGGGAGGAGGTGCAGCAGCCTACACCATCCCCTTCACTTCCACCAAGGCGGACAACCCAAGGGAAGCGTGGTGCTGTCCGCGATGGAGCTAAGGAGGGTGCAGCCAAGGAGAGGCCCAAGAGAGCTGCTCACCCAAGAGATTTCCTCAAGTATGAAAGGCTTGGGGGTCCCAAGGCATTGCTGGTCCAGGAGGAAGATGATGAAAAAGGAGCCGAGGGAGAGATGGAGCAGATTTGTTGCTTCGGTGTCAACTTACCCCATGAACCAGCTTCAATGGAAGAAGCACTTGCTGGAGATGATCGAGAGGCTTGGTTGGCTTCAAGGGAGGATGAGTTTCAGAGCCTCATGGAGAATGGAACATGGACCCTCACTGATCTGCCCCCGGGAAGAAAGGCATTGGATTGCACGTGGATATTACGTGTGAAGACCGATGCGGAGGGGAAGTTGGAGAGGCGCAAAACAAGACTTGTGATCAAGGGTTTCCAGCAGAGGGAGGGGGTTGACTTTAAGGAGGTGTTTGCTCCTGTTTCCAAGGCTCCTACGCTCCGGGTGTTGCTAGCAGCAGCTAGGTATGATCAAATGACCCGACCCGACCCGACCCGACCCGACTTTGGCGGGCCAGCCGGGTTCCGAGTCAGGTCGGGCCGGGTCGGAACTTTTGAGATCTCTGGCCCGACCCGGGTATCGGGTGCCGGGTCAGGCTTGACCCGCCCCCGGGTCGGGTCGGGTCCGGGCCGGGTCGGGTCGGGTCGGGCTGACTCCCATAGGCAGGGTTAGAGGTTCTCCTTAATAATGTGTAGGGGCGCGGGTCTAGCGACCTGCGCCTGCACGGCGCGCAAAGATGCCCTAAAACGCGGGCCTGCAATGCGCGCGCCTAGGGTGGGAGCGCGACCTGTAAATTTCAGATTTAAAAGAAACCCTAGGATGGATGGCGTGAAGTGCGAAGTGCGATTGGCTGAGTACTAACTAAACATTATCGTGGGTTCTAGGGTAGATTAGTGCGCCAATGTTGCTTGGTGGGTGGCTGCTGGCGTCACTAGCTAGTTAACCTAACTTAATCCAGATCGAAATGCTAGTTGCTGGGAAAACAAGCAAGCGCGATTGCGATCTGGATAACATTGTCGAGAGGAAACCCTCGGGTCGGGCCAGATACCCAACCCGAGATAGGGCGCGGTACCCGAAACCGGGTCGAGTCCATAATCGGGTCAAAACCCGACCCGACCCGACCCGACCCGGAATCGGGTCACAGGTCGACCCGACCCGGCCGGGTCAGTGGTTCAGAACTCCTGACCCGACCCGCCGGGTCCCTATGCTCATCCCTAGCAGCAGCTGCCGTTTGTGGTTGAAAGGTGGAGCAAATGGATGTGAAGACGGCTTTCCTCTATGGCGTGGTAGATGAGGAGATCTACATGAAGCAGCCAGAGGGGTACGACGATGGGAGCGGACGTGTTTGCAGGCTCAACAAGGCCATCTATGGTCTCAAAAAGGCTCCAAGGTGCTGGTATGCAAGGCTGATGGAGGCGTTGGAGGCTCTTGGCTTCAAAGTCAGCGGGTGCGACGAGAGTCTCTTCATGACCGAGGGGGAGGAGGAGAAGGTGTTTCTCCTTGTCTATGTCGATGACATTCTCCTCTTCTCTCCATCTCTAGAGAGGATCAAGGAGGTGCAAGGGAAGCTGAAAGAGACCTTTCAATGCAAGGCCCTTGGACCGGTGGGGTATTACCTTGGTCTTCACGTGGAGCGGGACGAGGTGAAGGCATGGTTGAGGCTTCACCAACACAAGTACCTTGCAGCCATGGGGGAGAGGTATGGGCTGGAGGAAGGGAGGAGTGTGAAGACTCCTCTACCCTCAAGGTTTCAGCTACACCTTGATGAAGAGGAGGGTGAGGTGTTGGAGCCCGAGTTACAGCGTCGGTTCCAGTCAATGGTGGGGAGCTTGATGTATGCTTCGGTCAACACTCACCCCGATATTTCATTCGCGGTTTCGCAGCTGGCTCGTGTGGTGTCTAGGCCCCTTCAAGAGCACCTTGATGTAGCAGAGAGGCTGGTGAGGTACTGCATGGCAACCTCAAGGGTGGGGCTGCAATATTCAGTGCATGGGCAGCTGAAGCAAAAGGGAGTGGAGGAGATGAGCACGAAGACCGGTGCACCTGCAAGGCGTGGACACTTGTACCTATCGTGCTTCACCGATGCTACCTGGGCAAGTGACATTAGTGATGCAACATCCCATGGTGGCTATGTATGCTGTGTTGGAGGGAGTTCAGTGAGCTGGAAGTCTAAGAAGCAAGGGGAGATAGCTCACTCATCAACGGAGAGCGAGTACATGGCGTTGTTTCATGGGGTAAAGGAGGTTGTTTGGATAAGGAGGTTGCTTGAGGAGTTGGGGCAGGAGCAAGAGGGTCCTACACCTGTGTTTTGTGACAGCCAAGGAGCTATTGCAATGGCTCGCAATGCTATGCTCCATGGGCTGAACAAGCACATGCATATCAAATGGCATTGGGTGAGGAAAGAGGTGAAGAAGAGCACGGTCTCCTTGCACTACATCATTACTACCAAGCAACCTGCAGATTTCTTGACCAAGAGGCTTGAAGAGCATCAGCATTGGACCTGTGCCACCTTGTGTGGCATGTCCTTCAACTAAGGGAGGCAGCTTCAGGGAGCAGCTAAGGGATGAATGAGAGCACGATGAGGGGGAGTTTGTTGTGCCAACACATTACAGTGGCACGGTCATCGCACTCCCATTCGGCCTACAAGCATGCTCAGCTTCTGGAATTTTGTGGGGAGGTTGTTCAACATGAGTTCTTCAAACCCTCAAAGTTTCAAAGTTTTTAAAGCAGTTACCAAGGCATGACAACATTTTATGTTTCAAGACTTATGGCATCCGGGAAGTGTGTGTTACTCCTTTTTGGTAACACCCGAGTTCACCATTTCGGCTGCTGACTCGTCTACCGAGCTCTGATTGGTCTGAAATTCGGTGTGGCAGTCCTTTGCCCCGCTGTGCAGGTGGTCACCAAGTTTCAAAACGATCCAACATCTGAGCATTGCGTGACAGCTGCCGAAATTCACTGTTCCGTAGTCATGGTGCACTGTTGGCAGCATTTCCCTTGCCACCCTTTCATTGTTGTCATGCCAATGGTGCAGGGACAGAGAATGAGACAAGAAGTACAGGTGGTCAAGTGGGACTCTACAGCTCTCCTTTTGAGAAGTGTGGTCTTCCTGGAACCAGCTTGCAAGAGGGTGCAAGTGGGAAGACAAGCTGACTCATGGTTGGCTTAACTCACAATTGGTTGCCTTGAGTACAGCTCTGAACATCCATGTATGGTTGGCTTTGCTGACGTAGCTAGGACGTTTCCCATCCTTCTCTAGTCTTTCTCCCCTAGGACTCAACCTTCTCTGAGTTCCCAGGATGATCCCAACCTCTTAAGAGTTCCCTAGGCAATGTTGTACCTCACCTCTTCCTTGCATCAATGAGAATACACGTTTTTCAGCCGAGCTTATGTTTTCGTTCACAGCGTAGCGCATACACCTCTGGTGAAAGCAAGCAATACACCGTTGGAAAGCAGACACTTAAGGCGAACTGCTGTCTAAGTTTCAGCCTCATGTGTTATCGGAGCTGATCGTGACGGCGTTTTGAACAGAGGCGGTTTGAAGACGTCAGATTTTGCTTAGACGGTTTCATGGGCATCCGCGACCTCTAAGTGGACTCTTGACTATACCAGCCCACACCTCACTGCCAATCGTCTTTATGACTCAACCATGGAGCTGGCACGTCAGGAGCTGGAGGGGCTGCAGGGGCGGGGGGGGGCAGCGGGGACAGTGGAGGATGCGGGGCCAGGGGTTATACCCTTGCGCGGGCCACATTGGTTGGTGGCAGGCAGAGTGCCTCAGTGCAAGTGCGCATGGCAATGGATGCGCTCTGCTTGCTTTGCTTTGCCCTACGTTGCATGTCCCAACATCCATTCATCCCCCAACCAACCAACCCCAGCTGGGCAGTGGGAACAGCTGGCCAGAGTGCTCCGGTGCGAGTGTGCATGGCAATGGATGTGCTGTGCTGTGTGGACTCTGCATCACACATTGTTCAAACACCCCATTCAAATCCCATCAGGGCAGTGGGTGCAGCAGGGAAGAATGCAAGTGCCCCGGTGCGAGTGCGCATGGCTGTGGATGCGCCGTGATTTGAGCTGCCATGCATTGCATGTCCCATCATCCATTCACCCCTCAACCAACCAACCCCCAGCAGGGCAGGGAGTGCAGCAGGGAAGAATACCCTGGTGCGAGTGCGCATGGCCACAGATGCGCCGTGCTTTGCTTTGTGTGGACACTGCACGGGACATCACATCATACATGTGCTTCCCCAACCCCAGCAGGGCAGCACGGCAACCTCCCCCGGTGCGAGTGCGCATGGCGATGGATGCGCTGCGCTTCGCTCGCCTTACATTGCATGTCTCATCATCCATTCACCCCCAGCAGGGCAGCAGCGCAGAGTGCACGTGTGCGAGTGCGCATGGCAATGGATGCGCTGTGCTTTGCGGACGAGCGCTGGCTCGTGTGCGGCTCTGATACCACGGGATCTGCGCCGTCCACCATCGTCCTCTGGGATACCTCCCGCCCCCCCTCCTCCTCCGCTGCACCCTCTGCCTCGCCTGCTACTACTGCCACTCCTGGTGCCTCTGCTCCCAGTGCGGGACCCTCTGTGTTCCACATGCCTGCCTTTTCCTCAGTGAGTCCACTTGGCACCAAGTGAAGGGTATGTGAAGTTCTTACTTTGCCCTTCACCTCAGTCCAAGTGAAGGGTGATTTTTCAGACTGCAGGGTGATCTTGAGGGATTCGCAAAAACACAGAGTGGGATCTTCTGTGTTCCACATGACCTGCCTTCTTCTCAGTAAGAAAAACAACCTCGTTTTCCTCTAACTTCATGTTATGTGTTGCCGCCAACCCCACCAACTGTGTCAAACGAGAGGAGCTCATGCCGTATGTCGAATTTCTCTGTCATTCATGTCACTTATGCCGACGTCTTCCCATCCGTAAACATGCTCTTTCCCTCCCCCACGCCCACGTCATCTAGTTCGTAACATGTGTGGCCGCCAACCCCACCGACTCTCGAACCATCGTTGCTGGTGAGCTCCTCTCTCCCTCCCACTATGACTTGCTTGTACTGGTGGCCTTTCTTTGATTGGTCCTCTGCTTCCCTTCCAGCCCCCTTACATTCCACTAGGAAGACGTGTGAGGCTCTCATTCCCAAACTCCATTGGCTTGCTCCCATCCTCGTGTCAAATGCACTCTCTCTCCTGTTCTTGCCATGCCACCCATGCCACCCATGCCACGCATGCCACCACACATGCCACCACACATGCCACCACACATGCCACCACACATGCCACCACACATGCCACCCATCCTCACCACTTGTCCCATGCCTACATTCCATCCCCGCACTGCATACCTCTCCTCTCCACTTAGTTCACTTCCCCTTCTTCCTTTCCCTCTCCTTATCCCTCTCTCCCTGCCCACCTGCAGGTGGTGGATAAGGCAGAGTGACTTTATTTTACTCACGCACGTACACAAGGCCGTGACTCGCCTGTTAAACAGCCCATGCCACCTCCGACCATGGTGCTTCCATCCCACCCACACATTGCATTCCCACCTCACGTGCTTCTGCGCTCCCTCCCTCTTTCTCTCTCTCTCTCTCTCTCTCTCTCTCTCTCTCTCTCTCTCTCTCTCTCTCTCTCTCTCTCTCTCTCTCTCTCTCTCTCTCTCTCCCTAACCGCTTGCAGGCGGCGGGGATGGCGGCGTGGCTCTCTTTGATTCACGCATGCACAAGGCCATCACTCGCTTCTCACTGGGAGGCAGTTTTGAGGTGAGAGGGATCAGAGGGGCGAGGGGAAGGGAGGTGAGAGGGGGTGATGGGGGGTATAGGGAGGGATGGCGGTGTGGCTCTCTTTGATTCGCGCATGCACAAGGCTGTCTCTCGCTTCTCCCTGGGGAGCAATTGCGAGGTGAAGGGAGTAAATGCGAGAGGGGAGAAGAGATGGTGAGAGTGAGATGGCCTATATCAATGAAAGGGGGAATATTAAATCTGACGTCTCTCCTCCCTAGCGCACCCCATTAGCTGACGCCAGCACCGTTCAGCCCCTAACTGCTCCATGCCACTTGCTCCACCAACTGCTGTTCCTGCTCCCTCCCGTCCTCCTTCACAGCACTGCACCCTCCTCTCGATCGTCATCCCGTATTTCTCGTCTCTGTTCACTCCCTGTCACTTCTCCCACACGCCCCATACCCCACCTCCACTCCATCCCCCCGCACACCCCTTCAGGTGACGTCAGCAGCGTTAAGCCCGCGTGATAGATCCCGCTGCTGCTCCCATCGCTGCCCCCCCTCTTTGACTCCCGCTGTCTCCCCTCCTCTCCTCTCATTTGCATTCCCCTCTTGTCTTTCCTCTGCTCACCTCTTCAGGTGACGTCAGCAGCGTTCAGCCCCTGTGGTCGGTTTTTCCATGCTGCCTGCTCGGCCAACTGCTGCTTCCTCTTCGACTCCCGCTGCCTCCCCTCCTCCTCCTCCTCCGCTGCTGCTCCCCCCTCCTCCTCGTCCGCTCCCCCTTCCTCTTCCTCCTGCCCCTCCCCCTCTCTGCGCGCTCTCTTCTGCCTCTCCCACGGCCCACCCATGCCGTCAGTGCAGCACTCCGTGCAGCATGCGGGGTGAGTGAGTGTCGTGCGGTGCAGTGCGGTGTGTTTGGGTGATGGCGCATGGTACTGACCCCACTTCCACAGCCCTATCGTGCCATCGGTGCAGCACTCAGTGCAACATGCGGGTTGAGAAAGGGAAAAGAAGAGGGGGGGGGCGGGGTAGGGGGGAGGAAAGGGTTTGGTGCATGGGGTTTGAGGTGGGGTGAGTGCGTGGCACTGAAACCTCTCCCACGGCCTGCCAATGCCATCAGTGCAGCACTCCGTGAGGCATGAGGGGTGAGAGGCGGGCTGTTGGTGGGTGGGTACATTGAGTAAAAGAGTTGTGTGTGCCACTGAACCCTTTTGTTCCCGCCTGTGCTGTGAGTGCAGCATGCACACGGTGAGATGGGGATGGTGAGAGGTGGCGGTTGGGGGTTGGGGGTTGGGGGATGTATGCGTGGGGCGTGTGTGGTGTGGTGTGGTGTGGTGTGGTGTGGTGCCAAGCCAACCCCACTTGTTCCCGCTTGTGCGCACTTGTGGTTTGGTTGGAGCATGCGGAGAGCGGGGTGAGAGGAGGGAGGGGAGGGGGGGTGAGTGCATCGTGTGGTGTGCGTTGTGTGTTGTGTGGTGCATGGCGCATGGTGCATGGTATATGGAGCACAGTTCATGGTGCATGGTGTATGGAGTATGGTGCATGGTGCATGGTGCATGGCGCATGGTGTATGGTGTATGGTGCATGGTGCATGGCGCATGGTGTATGGTGTATGGTGCATGGTGCATGGCGCATGGTGTATGGTGCATGTTACATGGTCTGGTACCTAACCCTCTTGATTGCCTTATCTCCTCCCGCTATCTACCACACACACTCTTCTCCCCCCAGTGTTGTGGATTGTGGGGAAGTGGGATGAACGACACCGAATGTGTCTTTGTCTCGCGCCTCTTTCCACTCCCTTTCCTCTCCCAACCCTACCTTACACACACTCTTCCCCCCACCCAGCTTTGTGGATTGTGGGGACGAAGGGGTCAATGATGCCAGGTGGCTCTCTGCTTCGCCTGGCTTCGTGACTGCCAGTGGCAATGGCAGGTGGGATTTCTCTGCCACGCTGGTATGCTCTGCCACGCTGGCATGGTAGCGTGTGAGAGGCAGTGACAATGGCAGGTGGGAATGTCTTGCTGTGCCATCCTGCCATGCCCTGCCATGCTGTCACCCTTCCAAATCCCCGTGAGCATCTTTTAGAGAGGGTCCATTTCCCCCTTCCCCTTCCCCTTCCCCTTCCCCTTCCCCTTCCCCCTCCCCTCCCCCTCCCCATTCCCCTTCCCCTGCCCCACCCATCGCTGCCATACTCTACTAAGCTGTCAGCGTAACAATACCTCCTTCCCCACCCTCCCCCCTGTCTCCTCCTGTGCAGCGTGGCTGTATGGGACTTAAAGAGGTGACTTTTGAGTCAACTCAAAAGTCACCATCTTCCCCACCCTTCTCCCTGCCCCCTCCTATGGCAGGGACCTCACTCTAGCCGATCCCCTCACTGCCTTCTCTTTCAACTGGCTCAATGATCAATCATGTATTCTGCTCACCCTGCAGCCCTTCCCTTGTTCATCCGCCGTCCCTTCAATCCCCCCTTCCCCACAGCAGTGTGGCAGTGCGGTACTCTGCCCGACCCACTCACTGCCCTCTCCTTGAACCTTCCTCGGTCATCTGTTCTTCTTACTTTGCGTTGCTTCTCTTGATTCTCCTGCCCCGTTGCCTCACCCCCTCCCCATGCCAGTGTGGCTGTGTGGGACGTCTCTTTGGCCGATCCCCTCACTGCCTTCTCCTTCGCACACACTCGATCTATCAACACTGTAAAGCAGTCCACATGCCGTATGATCGTACCGTAACTTTGTGTATTTCCTGTATTCGGTGAGGATTGCCCTGTGCATCCTTTTCAATTACACTTATCCTACACTGGTTAAGCCTAGAACTTATACGTTGCCCCTCTCTCTCCCTCCATGGGCATATTTTGCAGTGGCTGACAAGGCTGTTGCTTTGGCGTCCCCCTCCCTGCATGGCAGGTTGCGCGGCCACCCGGTGACGCCTGCATTGCCTTTTGAGGCGTCTCAAAAGCCTTTTCTCTGCTCCTCCTCCCCCTCCCTCCATGACCAGGTGGCAGTGGCACCCGATGATGCCTGCATTGCCACCGGAGGGGATGATCAGAAAGTGGTGAGCGCATTTCTCTCCCCTCTCGTCCATTCCTAGGTGCACTAATACATGCTCGCATGCAAAAGCTTCATGCATGCATGTAGCCCACATGCGCACGTCCATGCATGCATGCACTCATTCTTGCACGCGTGTACGCAATCCAAGTGCTAGCAATTGCGTGAACCCGCACACACACACTCGCACACACACACTCGCACACACACACACACTCGCACACACACACACTGGCACACACACACTCGCACACACACACACTCGCACACACACACACTCGCACACACACACTCGCACACACACACTCACACATACACAGTCTCGCACACACACACTCGCACACACACACTCGCACACACACACTCGTACACACACACTCGCACACACACACTCGCACACACACACTCGCACACACACATTCGCCTACACACACTCACCTACACACACTCGCACACACACATTCGCACACACACACTCACACACACACATTCGCACACACACATTTGCACTCACACATACACCACATGCACTCAACCCTCATATGTGTACGAGCAGCACTAACGCACTTGCACATACATGCACACACATGCAGACAAACATGAACACACCCTGTCAAGTGTTCTTATCCAACTTTCTCATTACCATTTTGTGTTGCCATATGCTCTATCTCCCCTTCCCTGCTTCCATCCTCAAATCCTTTACCTCTCCCCCAGAATCGCTTGTACCTGTTTTATAAGTAAGGGACGAATGGAAAATAAGATCCCCGCATCGTTTTCTCCATTTGCTGCTTCCCCCCTCAACTCCTCTACCACCCCGCCTCACTTTCCCTCGCCTCCCTTACTCATGCTCATAAGGTGTTACCATCTGTACCTCTCTCCATTCAACCCTTCCCCCTTCAGGTCCTCCATCTCTCTCCTTTGACCGCCTCTTCAACCTCGACTCACTGGAAGCTCACACATCCCCTTGCCTTGTAGCCTTGCTGCAGCATGTTGCAAATGGTTTGAGGCACCAATAAATACTGTCATCGCTCGGATAGTAGACATATATGTCTTATCTCGTACACTGCTCAAGGAAAACAAATGAAGCCTAAGGGAATTGAGGGCCACAAAACAAGCAGCACTGTTTGTTATCAGTGTAATAATAATACACGGTACGGTACAAGAGAGAAGGAAAAGGAAGAGAAACAATAATATCGTAGAGCAGAAAGTGGTACTATAACGCAGAGTGTGGACAACAAAGGGAGTGACAATAACAAGAGGGGAGAAGAAACCCCCCCACAGCCCCCCCACAGCCCCCCCACAGCCCCCCCACAGCCCCCCTAAGGCCCGCCTACCCTCCAATCCTCCTCACAGCCCCCCACAGCCCCCCAGACCGCCCCCACTATCCCTGGCATGGCATGGTCCCCCCCTATCCCTGGCATGGCATGGTCCCCCCCTATCCCTGGCATGGCATGGTCCCCCCCTATCCCTGGCATGGCATGGTCCCCCCCTATCCCTGGCATGGCATGGTCCCCCCCTATCCCTGGCATGGCATGGTCCCCCCCTATCCCTGGCATGGCATGGTCCCCACCTATCCCTGGCATGGCATGGTCCTGATCCTGGTCCTGGTCCTGGTCCTGGTCCTGGTCCTGGTCCTGGTCTTGGTCCTGGTCCTGGTCCTGGTCCTGGTCTTGTTCCTGTTCCTGTTCATGTTCCTGTTCCTGTTCCTGTTCATGTTGTCAGAAGGTGGCTGGAACAGTAACAAGACGGCAGGAACAGTAGCTGGGCAGCAGTAACAGTAACAAGGTGGCCGTAGCAGTAACTGGGCGGCTGGAACAGTACCGGGCAGCTGGAGTGGTTACCAGGTGGGTGGAGTGGTAACCAGGCGGCTGGAGCGATAACCAGGCGGCTGGAACGGTAAGCAGGCAGCATGAACAGTAACCGGGCGGCATGAACAGTAGCCGGGCGGCAGGAACAGTAACCGGGCTTGCAGGGGCCAAGGCTAGGCCAAACCCACCCCGTGCCTAGCCCACACCCACCTCGCAGCTCTTACATATCGACACACGCCGTACAAAACAAGAGCAAGGTGCATGTCCTTCCAAATATCCTACTTGTAGATGTGTCTCATGTCTTGGCAGGGTGAGAAGGTCTCTTCACGGCGCCCTGCAGCGAGAGAAGGCCACCTGCGCAAGGCGGGGTGGGGAGGGGTGGCAGGATGGCAGGTGTGACAGCATGGCTCTCCGAGCCTCATCCAGACCAGAGCGGAGAGTGAACAGTGCAGGATGGGAAACAGTGGGGTGAACAGTGCGGGATGGGGAAACAGTGGGGTGAACAGTGCGGGATGGGGAAGCAATAGGATGAACAGTGGGGGATGGGAAAACAGGGGGGTGAGGAGGAGTGCAGAGCAAGGGAACGACGAGTGCAGAGCAAGGGAACGACGAGTGCAGAGCAAGGGAACGACGAGTGCAGAGCAAGGGAACGACGAGTGCAGAGCAAGGGAACGACGAGTGCAGAGCAAGGGAGCGACGAGTGCAGAGCAAGGGAACGACGAGTGCAGAGCAAGGGAATGACGAGTGCAGAGCAAGGGAACGACGAGTGGAGAGCAAGGGAACGACGAGTGCAGAGCAAGGGAACGACGAGTGCAGAGCAAGGGAACGACGAGTGCAGAGCAAGGGAACGACGAGTGCAGAGCAAGGGAACGACGAGTGCAGAGCAAGGGAACGACGAGTGCAGAGCAAGGGAACGAACAGAAGCAACCAGCAGTAAACAGCCCGAACAGAAGCAATGGCAGCAAACAGCCCAAAGCAACAGCAGCAAACATCCCGCGCAGAAGCAACAGCAGGAGAAGGGTGTGTTTTGGCACGACCAAAACTGCAGCATAGGGAGAGAGGGGAAAGGGATGGAAAGCGGCGGGTGAGTGGGCCCCATGGGAGGGAGCAAGGGAAGTGAGGCGTGGGCAGGGGTTGTGAGCCCAGGAGCAAGGGAAGGTAAAGGCTGAAACATACTGGGTGGTGCTTTTCAGCCATGCCACGCCATGGTCGCTCGCCAGTTCAGCAGCAGTCTTGGTTGACGCTGCATCCACGCAGTCACCCAGAGCCAGGTGCTTTCTGCCGTGCCGTCGTGTCGAATCTCACAGCGGCTGTCATCATGCCCTCGCACCCGGCTGTCCAACCCGAACCTGGCAAGGGCGGAGAGGGCGAGAGAGAGGCAGAATAGCTGAGGCATAAAAGGTGAGGGGAAGGGCAAGAGGATGTTACGGAGGTGGTGCTAGCTGCCATGCCATGATGATGCCATGGACCAGCCAGTCCAGCACCCATCTCGCATGATGAGCCATGAGAAGCTGGTGATTTCTGCCATGCTCTCCAATTCTAATTCGTTTTGAACGAGCAGCGGCAGTAGCAACGCAGCAACAGCAGGCGGTAGGTGGCCGCAAAGAGCGAGAGGACGGCCGCGTTGACGAACGAGAGGCATCGCGCAGCGCGCGCGCTTCTTGGCAACCTCGCTTACCGCCCCTGCTCCACTGAGCCCGACAAGAGCGGCACGCATGACACATGACCTAGTTCGAAACTAATGGTGGTAATTTAAATGACCGCGAAAGGCGCCAGTCGAACGGAGGATTTAAACCGCGCGCTAAGCTCAGGCCGTCGCATATTGAGGCGAGTGGTCGTGAAGATTGCGTGGAACGTTGGTCGCCAACGTTGGTCCGGCGGTAATTCTAGGTGAACACGGTTTAGTACTATTAGTACGGCCACTACTTATAAATACTAGTACTAGTGGTACTACCGTTGTCACGGTGTGTGAGGAGTATGTGGCAGCGGGAGTCGGTGCTGCGGAAGAGCGAGAAAGTGGGCTTCAATGATACTATTATCTACTACTAGCTAATACGAACAACCATGTGCTACTGCTGTGAAAAAATATAGAAGCGAACGCGAGTACGAGGAGACGAGATACTGCGAGGAGGGAGCGAAAGAAAATTTTTTAGATGACTAATACTAACCGCTACGCGAATTCGGCGCTGTTGATATGTAACGCAAGCGACTCGCAGGTTATGCGGACATTAGGATGGTGGGATGCGTATGCAGGCACTATCCTTGTGTGCTACTACCAATGGTGGTTCGAGAGTGAAGCCGATGTGGGGGAGCGTCGGTGTCCCAGCGGACTGGATTATGTTGAAGCTGCGGATCTCAGGCCGCGTTCGCTTCCTCATCTGATTTTACAACCCTAATCTCCTCACACGGTTCAGAACGGTAAATCACCTTTTCAAGTGTTTTTCCTCTGGTGTTCACTATAGATTGATTCTTTTCATTATCGACTCCTTTTATAGAGACACGAAGTGAAGTTTGTTAGAACTGTACATTTTTAGCCCCCAAGTTCAATATCAAGGGCGCACTGTCACGGCGCAGCCCACGTGTCCCGTCTAGCTCGCCAATCAAGTCACAGCTAGGGCAGTGTACAGTATAGAGTTGCAAGTCAGGGTGTTGGGTGGGTGGTGCGTCCGTGAACTTAAAAAAGGATACTGTACATCTCAAACGGACAAATCAGAAGAATGAAAGGGTGTGGGACACGTCTGCTGGCTGGGCTTGCCACGTCACCGCTGGAAAACGATCGATGGAACATTTCGGATTTTGTTTTCCGTACGAACGTACGTTTCGGAAAATTACCGTTTTGAAACGTATTGAACTATTTTTGAACAAACCGCTTCATAAATGAACCACTTTTCACCGTTCAGGCGTTATGGTTCGTTTGAAAAACTAAGTCGAAATGTTCCACGCCCTAAAAATACATTCAATTTCGCCATCACCCTGATTTTACGAACTGGAGCACGATTTTGAACTGTATGTTGTTCATTTCCTCGCACTTTCTCATCTTTTTTTCCCACCGAGTTCCTGCTGTTACGCCTGGTGTTTTGCTAGGACCTAGCTCACATTTCCTGAAACTCTCGTTCGTTGTGACAAAAACTGTACACGTGAAGGCAGCACTGTTGCAGTTTCTTCCCAAGTCACCTCGCGCAGCCTGTAGGGCTTGTTTGTTCCATCTGCACAGTTTCTGTTTATAATCTACTGTAGTCGTTTGTTCTGGTTTAGTTTTTTTTTTGGCTTGTCCGCCCTTGCTGCTCTCATATTATTTTCGCACCCGTTTTTTGCTACCTTGATAGCTCGTCGTCTGGTGCTTTGTTATAACCTAGTTCGTTTCTCGCCACCCCCTGCTTTTTAGACCAACTGGCTGAAACACGATATTGGCCCCCTTTTTTATCGCCACCCTCGTGCAGAGCGATTCTTTGGGCGGAGCGAAAGGCGATCCTCTAATGGGCATGGGCCACGTGTACTTGCAACGGTTTGTTGCGCCCTTCAGTTCAGTGTGCGATTGCGGAAACGGTTGAGAACGGTTTCACCGTTCTCAACCGTCGTGAGTGAGAACAAAAAGGCTGTCGTGTCCAAGCCAAGGCTGCTAGGCAACCCACCCACCCACCTTCATCCCCTCTCACTTCACCCAGGGCACCACCTATTACTACCTCCACAGCCCGTCGTTAGCATTAGTAGCAGCAGTAGTACTATCAGTATCACTAGCAGTCCTTGTCGACCAATGAATAAGGATAGGTGTAGTAGCGGCCTGGTTTGTCTGATTGTTTATCTAGTAATTAATTGTTCCTCGTCTAATTTCGCAATGTTTGCAATTATGGCTTTTCGATCGCAGTTCAACTGGGAACCACTCAAGACGAGGATTAAACGCTATGCTAGTTCTAATTCTGCCGGCGGAAGTAATAACTGCCGCCGGTTTCTCTGCTCGAACCGCGCGTTTCCGAAATGGGGAGAAAGAACGCGACGCGGTTCGGCCCAGGGTTTCTGCCGCAGACCTAAACGAACCCCTCGCAGTCCGATGGGAGCCCTCGCTGCTGGATGCTAACGATCGGGTGTCAGGTGAAAACAATCGGTGCGCTCTCGCTAATAGCACTAGCGGTAAGTAGTACAATTTTGTTAGCAGTGAGAAGGATTACTACTAGCGCTTGGCGTCGACTTGAAGCCCGTTCAATATTTGCCCCCTTCGCGTAACTGAAACGCAAGCATTTCATCGAGTAAGATGGGTCGCGAGGTGCGCTTTCCTTCCGTGCGTAGAAATATTAGTAGGTGTTTGAAAGCAAGGCGGCTTTGGTAGCAGCAGCACCAGCGCGTAGTAGCAGGAAGAAGCCGTTTATCACAATGCCTTTTTTTTCTGTTTCCCCGTTTAAGGACTGATACACGGGGCCCTCGTGTGTTTTTCCTTCCTGTCGCTATGCATTTACTACAACCACATTTGTTAAGATCGTTACATTGATCACGTCGCTCTGCTGTGGTTTGCTGCAGGCGGCGTGCTGGTCGTCGGCGGTTCCTGGAGCAGAGGCAGTGAGCAAAGGCAGTCAAGCAGTAACCTAACCGGGTTCTCGCGCTTCGTAGATTACTGATACTAGGCTGCCCGTTCCGCGATTTGCGGCAGGGTGTCCGACACCGGAGTGACTGCAGGTGCTTGCCTGATGTCGCAGGAGTGACATCAGGAGTGACTGCAGGTGCTTGCATGATGTCGCAGCTTCTTAGAGAAAAAGGTACTCCTGTCATCCATCATCCGTCTCCACTCGCCGCTCACCTCCATGCGTGCGTGCGCTGCCCATGCGGTCCGTTCTGAGAGCTTTTCATGCCATGTGTCCACTTATGATCCCTCCTCTTACCACTCTCTTCCGCTCTGCTCTGCTCCTCCCCACTTCCTCTCCTCTCTCCCCTCCTTTCCCCCATGCTCTCATAGGACCGCTGCTCTCTCTAAGAACCCTCTCCCGCTCTCCCCACTCGCCTCCATTGACACCTCTCGTGCCTCTGTGCTGCTGCCCCTCGCCTCGCTTCCCTTGCTGCGCTCTCTGCAAGTAAGTGCGGTGCTGCTGGGTGCGGGCAGCTTGTGCTGCTGGGCATGGCTGATGCCGGGTGCAACTAGTGACGTGACAACACTTTATGCCAGTATGAACGGGTTGAGATGAGAGATCGCTTGAACCATGCTGCCCTTTGGTGCAGATTTGATTTGGTCAGCTGAGCGAGTTGCTGCTGCTCGTCGTTTCTCTGAGGCCCCACCCACCTAGCTCGGTTCCTTGCTGCACTGTATTGTCACTTTCATTGTAGCACGGTATTTGTGTGCTGGCTGGCAGGTACTTGTGTATGGGCAGGTATTTGTGTGCTGGCTGGCAGGTACTTGTGTGTGGGCAGGTATTTGTGTGCTGGCTGGCAGGTACTCTCTCCCTCCCGTCCCCTCCCTCACTCCCTCCCCCCGGCCTTTGTGCCACCTTTCGCCCTGCCTCTGCGGGTTCCTTCCCACAGCCTGGATTGCTGCGGACGACGAGGAGAGGAGAATGGGTGTGAGCTCAATCAGCAGAGAGCCTCTTCCCTCTTTACCCCGTTCATTGCTCTCCTTTCCCCGTTGTCTCCCCACCACCTCGCTCGCTGCATGCTACGAGCAGAACGAGATTGGGCTTAGTCAGAGAACCTATTTCCGCGTTACTCCTAAAAGAGCTTCATCCTCTTCCTCTCCTCCACCCCACATTTCCGTTCCTTTCCACCCCTTGCCTCGTTCTCCCTTCTTCCCCACCCACCCTGTCACCTCTGCTGTGGTCCAAATTTGCACTGGTGCGTTGCAATCAGCAGCTAGGGGGACAGCAACAGCTGCAGCACCAGCAGTAGCAGCAGCAGGAGTGGCGGCGGTAGCAACTGCAGGTTCTGCATTTGACTCACCCGGCAACTCTGACCAATCACCAAGCGTGGCACCTGGCAGCAGGGTATTGGTCAATCCGTCAGAGTCAACGTAGGACACGTCACGTGGACAGAAACTTGGCAGTAGCACTGCGCTTGGTGCTGCTGGTGATGGTTGGTCGGATGGCCCATTGAAGTAGCATCTGCGAGGGCAACAGCAGTTGTTGCAATAGCTTTGCACCACCAACAACAAAAGTAGCCGGAAATTGCAACCAAGCGATGTGAAAACGATAGGTAGCTGCAAATGTATTTGAAGGAGTAGTAGCTTAGAGCACTGCAACTTTTGAAAGCTTGGAGTTTCCTAACATGGAATGCCATTTAATTATGTTATGTTCCTTCTATCTTTGTTGGTTTGAATGAACTAAACTCATGTTCTGTGTTGGTTGTGCTGGACGGAACCTTAGGCATATTATCGAATCCTTTTTTCGTTGTTTGTGTGTGGGGGCGTGAGTGCGAGGCGTGTGTGTTATTAACTCGCTTCACACTTACCCATTTGATTGTTTGACCCTGGTTTGTACTGCTTGTCTGGTGTTTTCCTGCTATCCAGCTCGTCTGTTTTGCCACTACACTTTCTTTAGTTCGAACTGAGGCACTGAGTTTTGTTTTCCCCCTTTTTTGGTTTTGTGACTGGGTTCATTCGGCAGCTTTTCTACCCGGCCAGCTTACGAACGACACGCAGGCAAGGCAGCTTACGAACGACACGTAGGCAAGGCAGATCCCATATCCCCATTTTGCTCCTCTCTCTCGCATTCTCCGGTGTCCCCCCCTCCCAGCCTCGTGTTGCTGCAGTGCCACCTGCTGCTGCTGCTGCTGCTGCTGCTGCTGCTGCTGCTGCTGCTGCTGCTGCTGCTGCTGCTGCTGCTGCTGCTGCTGCTGCTGCAGGGAGGCAGTGGGGAGATGAGGGAACACAAGGGCCTGGGTCAAGGGGCCGGGACGATGGGCGGGAGAGGAAGAGAGAGGAAGGGGGTAAAGGGGGTGAGGAGCAAGAGGATAAGGGGAGTGAGGAGCAGGGGAGTAAGGAGCATGGGGGACACGAGAGTAAGGGGCAGGAAGGGCAGGCCGGGCAGGAAGGGCAGGAGGGTAAGGCACAGGAAGAGCAGAGTGGCAGAGGGAAGGGGGATGGTGAGGGAGGGGATGCTGACAAGCAGGCAAGCACCGTGAGACGCCACGAGTTCATGCCTCCATCCGCCGCCACCGCTCTCAGAGGAGCGTTGAGGGACGCGAGGTGGAGGGGAGGCGACAGGGAGAGAGGCAGGGGGCGCGGCCTACAGTGGAGGGGAGTTCTAGGGAGACTGGGGAGACCCAGAGGTGACTCGGGAGCGAATGGTGAGAGCTTATTTTCAACGGGGAGGGGTTGAGGGGCCAGGGGTTGAGGGGCCAGGGGTGGGGAGGAAGGGTGGAAAAGGGGAGAGGTCAGAGGCTACGCTAGAGGCTCCACTTTTTGGTATTTCTTCCCCATCTCTGTTGGTGTGCTTTTTTTTACTCTCACTCTTCTCTCCGCTCCCCCTCGAAAGGACCATTCCCTGCAATGAGCATCAAAAGATACAGACAATCCTGCAATGGCACCTGCAATGTTTTTGTCAGCCTGTTCAAATTACCTCCCGCTTTCCCCCTATCTCCGCTATTTTCCCGTCTCCCTTTTCTCCCCGTCCTGCCTATCTCCCCCATACCCCCCTCTGTCTTCCAGCATCCCATGAAAAAGCGGAGGGCAGTGGAAGCAGCGGTGGGAGGGGAGGCAGCAGAGGCAAAGGAGGTGGGGCGCTTGGTGCAGCAGCAGCACTGCGCTCTCGTGAACCACTTCAACAGGTGCGCGAAGTGTATCTGAGACGTGTGATACATGAAGCATTCACTGTTGTTGGCTGGAGACACCTGCATGGGAGCAACGGTGGAAGGGAAGGCAGCAGACGCACAGGAGATGGGGCGGTTGGTGCAGCAGCAGCACTGCGCTCTCATGAATCACTTCAACAGGTATGCTGCGTGAGATATCTGATGGCGCCTTCACTTCTGCTGATCGGCCAATGTTGAAGTTGCTTCTGAGAATTCTCAGAGGCAACTCCAACGGCGTGTGGGTGGGCTGCATGAGACATTTGACGGAGCTCTCACTGTTGTTGATCAGAGAAAATTGGCCGATCACTGCATGAGAAACCTCCACCCATGCCACCTATCGTCTCCTCCTTCCTCCCTCCCCTGCACGTCCTTCCTTCCCGCCAAGCCACATGGCACACTGCAGCGTCGTGTGGCTACAGGGTGGCAGTGGGGCGGGCTCGGTGATGGGGCCAAGACATTGAGCACGGTGACTTGTCTGATCGAAAGTCCCCTATCCAAATGTGCCCATTTTTTAATCGACTCCAAAGTGACTTTTGAGTTGACTCAAAAGTGGAGCACAGTGATTTGTCCTCCATCCAGAAAAACCCATTTTCCTCCTCTCACATTCCGTCCCGTATTCCCTTTCTTCACACTTGTTGTATCCCCCCCTCCTCTGCCAGCCTCGTGTTGCTACAGCGCCACCTGCTGCTGTTGCAGGGATGCAGTGGGAGGAGTACTGACGAGGGGCATAGAGAAGGGCTGTAATGATTTCTCTCTGTCCCGATATTCTCACTTTCCTGCTCACATTTCGTCCCTTATTCCATTTCCCTGCCAGCTTTGTGTTGCTGCAGCGACATCTACTGCTGTTGCAGGGAGGCAGCAGAGAGAGAAAGGACGAGGGGCAGAGAAAAATACTGCAGTGACTCCTCTTCTCACATTCCGCCCTTTAATTCCGTTCTCTCACTTTTCTTGGGCCCTCCCCTGCCAGCCTCGTGTTGCTGCAGTACCACCTGCCGCCGCCGCTGCTGCTGCTGCTGCTGCTGCAGGGAGGCAGCGGGGGGATGAGGGACGATGGGCAGAGAAAAAGACTGCTGTGATTCCTCTTCTCACATTCCATCACTTATTCCCTTCTCTCGCTTCTTTTGGCCCCTCCCCTGCCAGCCTCGTGTTGCTGCAGCGCCACCTGCTGCTGCTGCAGGGAGGCAGCAGGGAGAGAACAGACAACCAGAGCTTGGGTCAAGGGTATAGGGGCCGGGAGGAGGGTAAGGGGAAGAGGGAGAACGAGGGCAGAGGGGAGGAGGAGCAAGAGGGTAAGGGGAGCGAGGAGCAGCAGAGTGTGGGGCAGGGGGGGCAAGAGGGTAAGGGACAGGAGGACCAGAATGGAGAAGGGAAGAGGGGTGGTGAGGGAGGGGATTGTGAGAAGCAGACAAGTGCTGTGAGACGCCACGAGTTCGTCCCCCCATGGAAGCCCCCTTTCGCCCCCCGCCACTGCTCTCAGAGAGATGAAGGGCGCGAGGCGGGGAGGCACGGGGTGGGGAGGAGGCAGGGAGAGAGACAGGGGCCAGAGGCCAGAATGGAGAGGAGCGGGGGGATTCATGAGTCAAGTCAGGAACGGGTCGTGGGGACGAGCTATCCCCAACGAGAAGGGGCTGAGGGGCGTGGAGCGGGTCGGAGGCAGGGAGAGGGAGGAGTTGAGAGGCGTGGGGTGGGGCGGAGGCAGGGAGAGGGGGAGGGGCCAGAGGCAACGTTAAAGGCATGGGTGGTGTGCAGTGTTGACTATCACCGGTGTGACTTTAAGGGGGGGAGGAGCAGCGATGGAGGTTCCAGGGAGGTGTGTGGGGGTGGAGGGAGAGGCAGGCGAGGAGGTGGGGAGATGGCTGGGGGCAACTTGGGAGGGCAGGAAGGTGCAATGGAGGGGTGTGAAAAGGAAGCAGCGTTGGGTGAGGACGAGAATGAGGAGGAGGTGAAGCAGGGAAGGAGGGAGGGGATACGGAATGGAGGGACAGAGCATGCAGGGGAACGTATGGGCAGCAGCGCAGTAGGGGGCATGGGGAGGGGTGTGGGGGATGGGGGTGTGAGTGCGGCAGTGAGGGCGAGGGAGTGTGGGCGGGGGTACAGGGGACTGGCTGGGTGGGGGGAGAGCGGAGGGGCGGAAAGCAGAGGGAGATGGATGCGAGCTAAGAGCGCCCAGGGCTACTCGTCTGTTTGGACAGGTGGGATCAGGCAGGGTGGGGTAGGGCAGGGTGGGATATGGCAGGGTGGGTGGGGTAGGGCAGGGTGGGGCTGGGTGGGGTGGGGTTGGTGTGGAGTAGAATGCGTGTGGGGTATGGTGGTTGGGATAGGGTGGGTGGGGCATGGAGGGTTGGGAATGGTGGGCCTGCCATTGTAAGGCATGGAAGGATGATTGAACACATAAAGTGTACGTGCTTTTATGCTTCTGAAATATCCCAACAGTCAGTACCTAATTTGCGTGGATTGTGGTGCTGTGGGGTGCGTTTCTGTGCTGTGCGGTACTGGACTGATTATGGCAGGATGGGGATCACTGGACAACCCACGTAGAGGCCTGGGTTCGGTCCTCCGCCAATCACATGGTGACACGTGGCGGCCTACCTGGGCCAGCTACACCTCCCATGCTGCTGACGCGCCCACCACTAACATCAGCGATGTGGGATGATGGGGTGATGGTGGGACAGTGGGATGATAGGCTGTGGTGGGATGGTGGGATGGTGGCATGGTCCCATGCTGCTGATGCATGCACCCATCACCAACATCAGCGATGTGACATGATGGGGAGATGGTGGGGTGGTGGGATGTTGAGGAGGTGGGATGGTGTGATGGTGGGATAGTGGGATTGCATGTGAGAGGAGCATTTGAAAATTGAAACCACTGCGATTATTCCAGTCCCCTATCACACACATACCATTTCCACATCAGCACATTTAGTCTCGTTGCCATGCCATGTGGACCCACATCACATCCACATCGCATCACATCACACATCACGTCACATCACATCACATCACATCACATCACATCACATCACATCACATCACATCACATCACATCACATCACATCGCATCACATCACATCAGGTCACGTCACGTCACATCACATCACATCACATCATATCACATCACATCACATCACATCGCATCACATCAGGTCAGGTCACGTCACGTCACGTCACGTCACATCACATCACATCACATCACATCAGGTCACGTCACGTCACGTCACGTCACGTCACGTCACGTCACATCACATCACATCACATCACATCACATCACATCAGGTCACGTCACGTCACGTCACATCACATCGCATCGCATCGCATCACATCACATCACATCACGTCACATCACGTCACGTCACGTCACATCACATCACATCACAGCACATCACATCACATCACATCAGGTCACGTCACGTCACATCACATCACATCACATCATTTCACGTCACATCACATCACATCACATCACATCACATCACATCCACTCCCCATCCTGCATCATGTTACCTTGGAAAGTTCCAAAGATCCACACCAGCATGTGTCGTCCTATCTACAGTCCACTCTCCCTCACAGCCTGCACTGTGGTCTGTGGTGTGATGTGGTATGGTGTGATTGTGGAATTGTATGTTGTGTAACACGTCATCATGTCATCTCTTACACGTCATCATCCATGCATGCTGTTGGTCGCCAGCTGGCAGTGCAGAAGGTATTGGATGCGCGCTTCCATCCGAGGGGCCAGCCTCAGCTTGTCATTGGCTGCAACGAGGTGAGCGGTGACTTTTGAGGCGCCTCAAAGGTGCGCCTGACATGACAGTTGCTTGCAACAAACATGACGACTTGTTGACTTCGGAGAGTCGACTCGAAATTCAACTCGGTTCCACCCCAGGGGCAGGCCTCATCTGGTCACTGGGGCAGGCCTCATTGCTGCAATGAGGTGCGTGTGCGCCTCTCATGACGGTTGCTTGCAATAATCATCACACTTTGTCGACTTTTGAGTCGACTGGAAAGTGAACTCGCTCCATACCAGGCCAGCCATACCTTGATTGGCATGAGCTCTTACCGGTGGTGCCATACCAGCTGTTTCAAGCACAAACGACCAGTTTCTTTCGTCTGATCATCTGATAGATACATGCCAGATCAGATGATCATTGAATCATTCCATGGAATCACATGCTTTGCTTAGTCTTAGCCCATGTTGTGCCAACACATTACAGTGGCACGGTCATCGCACTCCCATTTGGCCTACAAGCCTACTCTGCTTCTGGAATTTTGTGGGGAGGTTGTTCAACATGTGTTCTTCAAACCCTCAAAGTTTCAGAGTTTTTGAAGCAGTTACCAAGGCATGACAACATTTTATGTTTCAAGACTTATGGCATCCGGGAAGTGTGTGTTACTCCTTTTTTGTAACACCCGAGTTCACCATTTCGGCTGGTGACTCGTCTACCGAGCTCTGATTGGTCTGAAATTCGGTCTGGCAGTCCTTTGCCCCACTGTGCAGGTGGTCACTAAGTTTCAGAACGATCCAACATCTGAGCATTACGTGACAGCTGCCGAAATTCACTGTTCCGTAGTCATGGTGCACTGTTGGCAGCATTTCCCTTGCCACCCTTTCATTGTTGTCATGCCAATGGTGCAGGGACAGAGAATGAGACAAGAAGTACAGGTGGTCAAGTGGGACTCTACAGCTCTCCTTTTGAGAAGTGTGGTCTTCCTGGAACCAGCTTGCAAGAGGGTGCAAGTGGGAAGACAAGCTGACTCATGGTTGGCTTAACTCACAATTGGTTGCCTTGAGTACAGCTCTGAACATCCATGTGTGGTTGGCTTTGCTGACCTAGCTAGGACGTTTCCCATCCTTCTCTAGCCTTTCTCCCCAGAGACTCAACCTTCTCTGAGTTCCCAGGATGATCCCAACCCCTTAAGAGTTCCCTTAGGCAATGTTGTACCTCACCTCTTCCTTGCATCAATGAGAATACACGTTTTTCAGTTGAGCTTACGTTTTCGTTCACAGCGTAGCGCATACACCTCTGGTGAAAGCAAGCAATACACCGTTGGAAAGCAGACACTTAAGGCTAACTGCTGTCTAAGTTTCAGCCTCATGTGTTATCGGAGCTGATCGTGACGGCGTTTTGAACAGAGGCGGTTTGAAGACGTCAGATTCTGCTTAGGCGGTTTCATGGGCATCCGCGACCTCTAAGTGGACTCTTGACTATAACAAGTGGTATCAGAGCTGTTCTACTCTGTTCGTGGGTGAATATGGAGGTTGAAGGTTCTGCTCCAGCTGGTCCCAGTGGCAGTGGTGGCGTGAAAGGCGCTGGGGAAGCGGGAAGAGGCGTTGCAGGCGGATCTGCACCAATGGCTTCCGTTTCAACATCAGCTAAAGATGATGTGAAGGCATTCAACCTAGAGAAGTTCTCTGGGGAGGATTGGGCATCATGGAGCTTCAGGATGGAGCTCCTCTTCAACCATTATGGGCTGCTTGAAGAGATGGATGGAGAATTGAAGAGGCCTGCGAGCGAAGGAGCGACCAAAGAATGGGATCGCCGGTCTAAGGATGGATTCTTCCTTCTCTCCCAATGCCTCTCATCCAAGCAGCTGCACCACATCAAGCATCTCATCAAGGAAGTTGAGTGTGGTCCTAAGGCATGGAAGATATTGAAGGATGTCCATGCCCCCAGCAGCGAAGCTATGGTGGTGGTGCTCGAGCGACAACTCCATGCGCTGAAGGTCAACGAGGGTGATGCCGTACAAGGAGCGTTCAATCAACTCAGGGACCTCTATGTGAAGCTCTCTGCTGCTGGTGTGAACTACCCAGAGAAAATCAAGTGCTACAAGGCCCTCTCCCTGCTGCCGGAGTCGTGGGGGCCCTTGGTGGTCAACCTTAATGGCATGAAGGACTTGTGGTCCCTTGAGTGGATTCGCGCACAAGTTCTTCAAGAGGAGTTTCGGAGGAAGGAGCTGACCGCCGCTGCCGGTGAAGGTGGAGGTTCAGCCTACGGCATGAAGTGCTTCAAGGGGCGTGGCAGCAAGAAAGGCAAGGCCAAGGAAGGCTCTGGAGAGGAGCAGCATTCGGGAGGGAAGCGTGGCAACAAGGGAGGCAAGCGGTGTGGCGGCAAGTGTTGGTATTGCCATGTGGAAGGGCACCCATGGTTCAAGTGCCGCAAGCTACCTGATGGTTGGAGGCCTGGTCAGCCATCAATTGAGGGCTCCAAGGGTGTTCATGGAGCTATGGGAGAAGGCATGGGCAGTGTGGAGGGCGATGGAGGTGCTGGCGGATACGGCGGCATGTTCTACCATGTAGGGGAGGCGTGCCCCGAGGACATGGTTGTGCCGGCCAGCAAGATTGCTCTTCACCGCTCCTCCCATTGGGTCATCGACACGGGAGCCTTCATGACCATGACCAACCGAGAGGATCTACTGGATGAAGTTAGGTCATCAAAGGCAGCCACCGTCGTTTCAGCCACCGGCCAAGTTGTACCCGTGCGTGGCGAGGGGAGAGCCATGTTCATGGGTGCGGATGGGAGGCTTGTGGGGCCAAGTTGTTCTCCTTGTTCCTGGATTGTGTGCCAACCTCCTCTCTACCAAGGCCCTAAGTGAGGCAGGGATGAAGATGGAGATGTTGGGCACAAAGGTTTTCAAGGCAACTTTGGATGGGCACGTGTTGTGGGACCTCCGAGGCGGCAAGGATGTGCACCGGTCCATGTGGGAGATACCGGTGCTGCCATGGAAAGAGGCGGCTGCGCGCTTGGCTGCTGGAGGTGTGAGAGGAGGGCGTGTTAACCACGTGGACAATGGAGGAGGTGGTGATGATAGTGATGGTGGGCTCCTTGGGCATGGAGGGGCTAAGTTACCAAGTGTAACTCCTAGCACGGGTGAGACGGATTGGCTGACCGCACACCGTCGCTTTGGCCACGTGGAGCTACCTCAGTTGCAGCAGCTGTTCAAGGAGGAAAAAGTCAAGGGGCTGAGGATAAAGGGGGAGCCCAAGGAGGTGGGATCTTGTGAGACTTGTTTGACCAGCAAGTTTTCACGGTTTTCCTTCCATTCGGTGGAGGAGAAGTCGAGCGACCCGGTGGAGCTCGTGCATGTGGATCTCGTGGGACCCATGAAAGTGAAGGGAGATGATGGGGCCCTGTATTCCATGACCATGGTGGATGACAACACAAGGCTCACCTGGTCCTTTCCACTTGCAAAGAAAAGTGATGCTGCAAGGATCATCATTGAAGAGTGGCTGCCCTTGGTGGAGCGAGAGAGCGGCAAGCGGGTGAAGGCGATTCGTAGCGACCGTGGTGGGGAGTTCTTGGGAGCGGAGTTCCGGAGCTGGCCGAAGCGGCACGGCATCAAGCAGCAGCTCACCACGGCCTACACTCCTCAATCCAATGGCGTGGCAGAGAGAGCGAACCGGACCATCATGGAGGGTGGGAGAACGATGTTGGTAGACTCGGGTCTACCCTTACGATTCTGGCCCCTCGCTATTCGCCATGCCACCGTCATCAAGAACCGAGTATTGGCTCATGTGGGAGGGCAGCATTGGGTCCCTATGGAGAAGTGGAGAGGCAAGAAGCCCTTGGTGGATATGCTTCGAGTCTTCAAGTGCATGGGACTCGTGCACGTCCCTAAGGAGAAGCGTGACAAGCTTCAAGCGGCGGCGGTGTGGGCTGTTCATTTGGGACTTGCACAAGGGAGCAAGGGGTGGCTCATGTGGGACCCAAAAGCCAATACCATCTTCACCACCAGAGATGCCAAGTTCATGGAGAGGCTCATGTTCAAGGAGTGGTTGTAGCGAGGGAGGAGCAAGGTCACCATTCCGCTCGGAATAGAGGTGGGAACGAATGACCCATTCCTGATTCTCATCGAGTTGTCTTCATCTTCAGAGGTAACGGAGGTGTCACATGACTTGGGAGGTGCTGAAGGGGAGGCAGCAGAGGTGGAGGGAGTGTTGCAGCAAGAGGCGGCCCCTGTAGCTAAGAGAAGTGCTGCCGGGGAGGAGGTGCAGCAGCCTACACCATCCCCTTCACTTCCACCAAGGCGGACAACCCAAGGGAAGCGTGGTGCTGTCCGCGATGGAGCTAAAGAGGGTGCAGCCAAAGAGAGGCCTAAGAGAGCTGCTCACCCAAGAGATTTCCTCAAGTATGAAAGGCTTGGGGGTCCCAAGGCATTGCTGGTCCAGGAGGAGGAAGATGATGAAAAGGGAGCCGAGAGAGAGATGGAGCAGATTTGTTGCTTCGGTGTCAACTTACCCCATGAACCAGCTTCAATGGAGGAAGCACTTGCTGGAGATGATCGAGAGGCTTGGTTGGCTTCAAGGGAGGATGAGTTTCAGAGCCTCATGGAGAATGGAACATGGACCCTCACTAATCTGCCACCGGGAAGAAAAGCATCGGATTGCACGTAGATATTACGTGTGAAGACCGATGCGGAGGGGAAGTTGGAGAGGCGCAAAACAAGACTTGTGATCAAGGGTTTCCAGCAGAGGGAGGGGGTTGACTTTAAGGAGGTGTTTGCTCCTGTTGCCAAGGCTCCTACGCTCCGGGTGTTGCTAGCAGCAGCTAGGTATGATCAAATGACCCGACCCGACCCGACTTGACTTTGGCGGGCCAGCCGGGTTCCGGGTCGGGTCGGGTCGTGTCGGAACTTTTGAGATCTCTGGCCCGACCCGGGTATCAGGTGCCGGGTCAGGCTTGACCCGCCCCTGGGTCGGGTCGGGTCGGGGCCGGGTCGGGTCGGGTCGGGCCGACTCCCATAGGCAGGGTTAGAGGTTCTCCTTAATAATGTGTAGGGGCGCGGGTCTAGCGACCTGCGCCTGCACGGCGCGCAAAGATGCCCTAAAACGCGGGCCTGCAATGCGCGCGCCTAGGGTGGGAGCGCGACCTGTAAATTTCAGATTTAAAAGAAACCCTAGGATGGATGGCGTGAAGTGCGAAGTGCGATTGGCTGAGTACTAACTAAACATTATCATGGGTTCTAGGGTAGATTAGTACGCCAATGTTGCTTGGTGGGTGGCTGCTGGCGTCACTAGCTAGCTAACCTAACTTAATCCAGATCGAAATGCTAGTTGCTGGGAAAACAAGCAAGCGCGATTGCGATCTGGATAACATTGTCGAGAGGAAACCCTCGGGTCGGGCCAGATACCCAACCCGAGATAGGGCGCGGTACCCGAAACCGGGTCGAGTCCATAATCGGGTCAAAACCCGACCCGACCCGACCCGACCCGGAATCGGGTCACGGGTCGACCCGACCCGGCCGGGTATACCCGACCCGACCCGGCCTGGTCAGTGGTTCAGAACTCCTGACCCGACCCGGGTCAAAACCCGGGTCGGGCCGACTATGCTCATCCCTAGCAGCAGCTGCCGTTTGTGGTTGGAAGGTGGAGCAAATGGATGTGAAGACGGCTTTCCTCTATGGCGTGGTAGATGAGGAGATCTACATGAAGCAGCCAGAGGGGTACGACGATGGGAGCGGACGTGTTTGCAGGCTCAACAAGGCCATCTATGGTCTCAAACAAGCTCCAAGGTGCTGGTATGCAAGGCTGATGGAGGCGTTGGAGGCTCTTGGCTTCAAAGTCAACGGGTGCGGCGAGAGTCTCTTCATGACCGAGGGGGAGGAGGAGAAGGTGTTTCTCCTTGTCTATGTCGATGACATTCTCCTCTTCTCTCCATCTCTAGAGAGGATCAAGGAGGTGCAAGGGAAGCTGAAGGAGACCTTTCAATGCAAGGCCCTTGGACCGGTGGGGTATTACCTTGGTCTTCACGTAGAACGGGACGAGGTGAAGGGATGGTTGAGGCTTCATCAACACAAGTACCTTGCAGCCATGGGGGAGAGGTATGGGCTGGAGGAAGAGAGGAGTGTGAAGTATCCTCTACCCTCAAGGTTTCAGCTACACATTGATGAAGAGGAGGGTGAGGTGTTGGAGCCCGAGTTGCAGCGTCGGTTCCAGTCAATGGTGGGGAGCTTGATGTATGCTTCGGTCAACACTCGCCCCGATATTTCATTCGCGGTTTTGCAGCTGGCTCGTATGGTGTCTAGGCCCCTTCAAGAGCACCTTGATGTAGCAGAGAGGCTGGTGAGGTACTGCATGGCAACCTCAAGGGTGGGGCTGCAATATTCAATGCATGGGCAGCTGAAGCAAAAGGGAGTGGAGGAGGTGAGCACGAAGACCGGTGCACCTGCAAGGCGTTGACACTTGTACCTATCGTGCTTCACCGATGCTACCTGGGCAAGTGACATTAGTGATGCAACATCCCATGGTGGCTATGTATGCTGTGTTGGAGGGAGTCCAGTGAGCTGGAAGTCTAAGAAGCAAGGGGAGATAGCTCACTCATCAACGGAGAGCGAGTACATGGCGTTGTTTCATGGGGTAAAGAAGGTGGTTTGGATAAGGAGGTTGCTTGAGGAGTTGAGGCAGGAGCAAGAGGGTCCTACACCTGTGTTTTGTGACAGCCAAGGAGCAATTGCAATGGCTCGCAATGCTGTGCTCCATGGGCCGAACAAGCACATGCATATCAAATGGCATTGGGTGAGGAAGGAGGTGAAGAAGAGCACGGTCTCCTTGCACTACATCAACACTACCAAGCAACCTGCAGATTTCTTGACCAAGAGGCTTGCAGAGCATCAGCATTGGACCTGTGCCACCTTGTGTGGCATGTCCTTCAACCAAGGGAGGCAGCTTCAGGGAGCAGCTAAGGGATGAATGAGAGCACGATGAGGGGGAGTTTGTTGTGCCAACACATTACAGTGGCACGGTCATCGCACTCCCATTCGGCCTACAAGCATGCTCAGCTTCTGGAATTTTGTGGGGAGGTTATTCAACATGTGTTCTTCAAACCATCAAAGTTTCAGAGTTTTTAAAGCAGTTACCAAGGCATGACAACATTTTATGTTTCAAGACTTATGGCATCCGGGAAGTGTGTGTTACTCCTTTTTGGTAACACCCGAGTTCACCATTTCGGCTTCTGACTCGTCTACCGAGCTCTGATTGGTCTGAAATTCGGCGTGGCAATCCTTTGCCCCGCTGTGCAGGTGGTCACCAAGTTTCAGAACGATCCAACATCTGAGCATAGCGTGACAGCTGCCGAAATTCACTGTTCCGTAGTCATGGTGCACTGTTGGCAGCATTTCCCTTGCCACCCTTTCATTGTTGTCATGCCAATGGTGCAGGGACAGAGAATGAGACAAGAAGTACAGGTGGTCAAGTGGGACTCTACAGCTCTCCTTTTGAGAAGTGTGGTCTTCCTGGAACCAGCTTGCAAGAGGGTGCAAGTGGGAAGACAGCTGACTCATGGTTGGCTTAACTCACAATTGGTTGCCTTGAGTACAGCTCTGAACATCCATGTGTGGTTGGCTTTGCTGACATAGCTAGGACGTCTCCCATCCTTCTCTAACCTTTCTCCCCTAGTACTCAACCTTCTCTGAGTTCCCATGATGATCCCAACCCCTTAAGAGTTCCCTAGGCAATGTTGTACCTCACCTCTTCCTTGCATCAATGAGAATACAGGTTTTTCAGCCGAGTTTACGTTTTCGTTCACAGCGTAGCGCATACACCTCTGGTGAAAGCAAGCAATACACCGTTGGAAAGCAGACACTTAAGGCTAACTGCTGTCTAAGTTTTAGCCTCATGTGTTATTGGAGCTGATCGTGACGGTGTTTTGAACAGAGGCGGTTTGAAGACGCCAGATTCTGCTTAGGCGGTTTCATGGGCATCCGCGACCTCTAAGTGGACTCTTGACTATAACAGCCCACACCTCACTGCCAATCGTCTTTATGACTCAACCATGGAGCTGGCACGTCAGGAGCTGGAGGGGCAGCGGGGACAGTGGAGGATGCGGGGCCAGGGGTTATACCCTTGCGCGGGCCACATTGGTTGGTGGCAGGCAGAGTGCCTCAGTGCAAGTGCGCATGGCAATGGATGCGCTCTGCTTGCTTTGCTTTGCCCTACGTTGCATGTCCCATCATCCATTCATCCCCCAACCAACCAACCCCAGCTGGGCAGTGGGAACAGCTGGCCAGAGTGCTCCGGTGCGAGTGTGCATGGCAATGGATGTGGTGTGCTGTGTGGACTCTGCATCACACATTGTTCAAACACCCCATTCAAATCCCATCAGGGCAGTGGGTGCAGCAGGGAAGAATGCAAGTGCCCTGGTGCGAGTGCGCATGGCTGTCGATGCGCCGTGATTTGAGCTGCCATGCATTGCATGTCCCATCATCCATTCACCCCTCAACCAACCAACCCCCAGCAGGGCAGGGACTGCAGCAGGGAAGAATACCCTGGTGCGAGTGCGCATGGCCACAGATGCGCCGTGCTTTGCTTTGTGTGGACACTGCACGGGACATCACATCATACATGTGCTTCCCCAACCCCAGCAGGGCAGCACGGCAACCTCCCCCGGTGCGAGTGCGCATGGCGATGGATGCGCTGCGCTTCGCTCGCCTTACATTGCATGTCTCATCATCCATTCACCCCCAGCAGGGCAGCAGCGCAGAGTGCCCGTGTGCGAGTGCGCATGGCAATGGATGCGCTGTGCTTTGCGGACGAGCGCTGGCTCGTGTGCGGCTCTGATACCACGGGATCTGCGCCGTCCACCATCGTCCTCTGGGATACCTCCCGCCCCCCCTCCTCCTCCGCTGCACCCTCTGCCTCGCCTGCTGCTACTGCCACTCCTGGTGCCTCTGCTCCCAGTGCGGGACCCTCTGTGTTCCACATGCCTGCCTTTTCCTCAGTGAGTCCACTTGGCACCAAGTGAAGGGTATGTGAAGTTCTTACTTTGCCCTTCACCTCAGTCCAAGTGAAGGGTGATTTTTGAGACTGCAGGGTGATCTTGAGGGATTCGCAAAAACACAGAGTGGGATCTTCTGTGTTCCACATGACCTGCCTTCTTCTCAGTAAGAAAAACAACCTCGTTTTCCTCTAACTTCATGTTATGTGTTGCCGCCAACCCCACCAACTGTGTCAAACGAGAGGAGCTCATGCCGTATGTCGAATTTCTCTGTCATTCATGTCACTTATGCCGACGTCTTCCCATCCGTAAACATGCTCTTTCCCTCCCCCACGCCCACGCCATCCAGTTCGTAACATGTGTGGCCGCCAACCCCACCGACTCTCGAACCGTCGTTGCTGGTGAGCTCCTCTCTCCCTCCCACTATGTCTCATCTACCCTCCCTCATCTACCTTTCTCCTCTGATATTACACACGTACAATTCACCAGGCTTCCCTGAAGCGATTGGACTTGCTTGTACTGGTGGCCTTTCTTTGATTGGTCCTCTGCTTCCCTTCCAGCCCCCTTACATTCCACTAGGAAGACGTGTGAGGCTCTCATTCCCAAACTCCATTGGCTTGCTCCCATCCTCGTGTCGAATGCACTCTCCCTCCTGTTCTTGCCATGCCACCCATGCCACCCATGCCACGCATGCCACGCATGCCACCACACATGCCACCACACATGCCACCACACATGCCACCCATCCTCACCACTTGTCCCATGCCTACATTCCATCCCCGCACTGCATACCTCTCCTCTCCACTTAGTTCACTTCCCCCTCTTCCTTTCCCTCTCCTTATCCCTCTCTCCCTGCCCACCTGCAGGTGGTGGATAAGGCAGAGTGACTTTATTTTACTCACGCACGTACACAAGGCCGTGACTCGCCTGTTAAACAGCCCATGCCACCTCCGACCATGGTGCTTCCATCCCACCCACACATTGCATTCCCACCTCATGTGCTTCTGCGCTCCCTCTCTCTCTCTCTCTCTCTCTCTCTCTCTCTCTCTCTCTCTCTCTCTCTCTCTCTCTCTCTCTCTCTCTCTCTCTCTCTCTCTCTCTCTCTCTCTGCCTAACCGCCTGCAGGCGGCGGGGATGGCGGCGTGGCTCTCTTTGATTCACGCATGCACAAGGCCATCACTCGCTTCTCACTGGGAGGCAGTTTTGAGGTGAGAGGGATCAGAGGGGCGAGGGGAAGGGAGGTGAGAGGGGGTGATGGGGGGTATAGGGAGGGATGGCGGTGTGGTTCTCTTTGATTCGCGCATGCACAAGGCTGTCTCTCGCTTCTCCCTGGGGAGCAATTGCGAGGTGAAGGGAGTAAATGCGAGAGGGGAAAAGAGATGGTGAGAGTGAGATGGCCTATATCAATGAAAGGGGGAATATTATATCTGACGTCTCTCCTCCCTAGCGCACCCCATTAGCTGACGCCAGCACCGTTCAGCCCCTAACTGCTCCATGCCACTTGCTCCACCAACTGCTGTTCCTGCTCCCTCCCGTCCTCCTTCACAGCACTGCACCCTCCTCTCGATCGTCATCCCGTATTTCTCGTCTCTGTTCACTCCCTGTCACTTCTCCCACACGCCCCATACCCCACCTCCACTCCATCCCCCCGCACACCCCTTCAGGTGACGTCAGCAGCGTTAAGCCCGTGTGATAGATCCCGCTGCTGCTCCCATTGCTGCCCCCCCTCTTTGACTCCCGCTGTCTCCCCTCCTCTCCTCTCATTTGCATTCCCCTCTTGTCTTTCCTCTGCTCACCTCTTCAGGTGACGTCAGCAGCGTTCAGCCCCTGTGGTCGGTTTTTCCACGCTGCCTGCTCGGCCAACTACTGCTTCCTCTTCGACTCCCGCTGCCTCCCCTCCTCCTCCTCCTCCGCTGCTGCTCCCCCCTCCTCCTCGTCCGCTCCCCCTTCCTCTTCCTCCTGCCCCTCCCCCTCTCTGCACGCTCTCTTCTGCCTCTCCCACGGCCCACCCATGCCGTCAGTGCAGCACTCCGTGCAGCATGCGGGGTGAGTGAGTGTCGTGCGGTGCAGTGCGGTGTGTTTGGGTGATGGCGCATGGTACTAACCCCACTTCCACAGCCCTATCGTGCCATCGGTGCAGCACTCAGTGCAACATGCGGGTTGAGAAAGGGAAAAGAAGAGGGGGGGGGCGGGGTAGGGGGGAGGAAAGGGTTTGGTGCATGGGGTTTGAGGTGGGGTGAGTGCGTGGCACTGAAACCTCTCCCACGGCCTGCCAATGCCATCAGTGCAGCACTCCGTGAGGCATGCGGGGTGAGAGGCGGGCTGTTGGTGGGTGGGTACATTGAGTAAAAGAGTTGTGTGTGCCACTGAACCCTTTTGTTCCCGCCTGTGCTGTGAGTGCAGCATGCACACGGTGAGATGGGGATGGTGAGAGGTGGCGGTTGGGGGTTGGGGGATGTATGCGTGGGGCGTGTGTGGTGTGGTGTGGTGTGGTGTGGTGCCAAGCCAACCCCACTTGTTCCCGCTTGTGCGCACTTGTGGTTTGGTTGGAGCATGCGGAGAGCGGGGTGAGAGGAGGGAGGGGAGGGGGGGTGAGTGCATCGTGTGGTGTGCGTTGTGTGTTGTGTGGTGCATGGCGCATGGTGCATGGTATATGGAGCACAGTTCATGGTGCATGGTGTATGGAGTATGGTGCATGGTGCATGGTGCATGGCGCATGGTGTATGGTGTATGGTGTATGGTGCATGGTGCATGGTGCATGGCGCATGGTGTATGGTGTATGGTGCATGGTGCATGGCGCATGGTGTATGGTGCATGTTACATGGTCTGGTACCTAACCCTCTTGATTGCCTTATCTCCTCCCGCCATCTACCACACACACTCTTCACCCCCCAGTGTTGTGGATTGTGGGGAAGTGGGATGAACGACACCGAATGTGTCTTTGTCTCGCGCCTCTTTCCACTCCCTTTCCTCTCCCAACCCTACCTTACACACACTCTTCCCCCCACCCAGCTTTGTGGATTGTGGGGACGAAGGGGTCAATGATGCCAGGTGGCTCTCTGCTTCGCCTGGCTTCGTGACTGCCAGTGGCAATGGCAGGTGGGATTGCTCTGCCACGCTGGCATGCTCTGCCACGCTGGCATGGTAGCGAGTGAGAGGCAGTGACAATGGCAGGTGGGAATGTCTTGCTGTGCCATCCTGCCATGCCCTGCCATGCTGTCACCCTTCCAAATCCCCATGAGCATCTTTTAGAGAGGGTCCATTTCCCCCTTCCCCTTCCCCTTCCCCCTCCCCTCCCCCTCCCCATTCCCCTTCCCCTGCCCCACCCATCGCTGCCATACTCTACTAAGCTGTCAGCGTAACAATACCTCCTTCCCCACCCTCCCCCCTGTCTCCTCCTGTGCAGCGTGGCTGTATGGGACTTAAAGAGGTGACTTTTGAGTCAACTCAAAAGTCACCATCTTCCCCACCCTTCTCCCTGCCCCCTCCTATGGCAGGGACCTCACTCTAGCCGATCCCCTCACTGCCTTCTCTTTCAACTGGCTCCATGATCAATCATGTATTCTGCTTACCCTGCAGCCCTTCCCTTGTTCATCCGCCGTCCCTTCAATCCCCCCTTCCCCACAGCAGTGTGGCAGTGCGGTACTCTGCCCGACCCACTCACTGCCCTCTCCTTGAACCTTCCTTGGTCATCTGTTCTTCTTACTTTGCGTTGGTTCTCTTAATTCTCCTGCCCCGTTGCCTCACCCCCTCCCCATGCCAGTGTGGCTGTGTGGGACGTCTCTTTGGCCGATCCCCTCACTGCCTTCTCCTTCGCACACACTCGATCTATCAACACTGTAAAGCAGTCCACATGCCGTATGATCGTACCGTAACTTTGTGTATTTCCTGTATTCGGTGAGGATTGCCCTGTGCATCCTTTTCAATTACACTTATCCTACACTGGTTAAGCCTAGAACTTATACGTTGCCGCTCTCTCTCCCTCCATTGGCATATTTTGCAGTGGCTGACAAGGCTGTTGCTTTGGCGTCCCCCTCCCTGCATGGCAGGTTGCGCGGCCACCCGGTGACGCCTGCATTGCCTTTTGAGGCGTCTCAAAAGCCTTTTCTCTGCTCCTCCTCCCCCTCCCTCCATGACCAGGTGGCAGTGGCACCCGATGATGCCTGCATTGCCACCGGAGGGGATGATCAGAAAGTGGTGAGCGCATTTCTCTCCCCTCTCGTCCATTCCTAGGTGCACTAATACATGCTCGCATGCAAAAGCTTCATGCATGCATGTAGCCCACATGCGCACGTCCATGCATGCATGCACTCATTCTTGCACGCGTGTACGCAATCCAAGTGCTAGCAATTGCGTGAACCCGCACACACACACTCGCACACACACACTCGCACACACACACACACTCGCACACACACACACTGGCACACACACACTCGCACACACACACACTCGCACACACACACACTCGCACACACACACACTCGCACACACACACTCACACATACACAGTCTCGCACACACACACTCGCACACACACTCGCACACACACACTCGTACACACACACTCGCACACACACACTCGCACACACACACACTCGCACACACACATTCGCCTACACACACTCACCTACACACACTCGCACACACACATTCGCACACACACACTCACACACACACATTCGCACACACACATTTGCACTCACACATACACCACATGCACTCAACCCTCATATGTGTACGAGCAGCACTAACGCACTTGCACATACATGTACACACATGCAGTCAAACATGAACACACCCTGTCAAGTGTTCTTATCCAACTTTCTCATTACCATTTTGTGTTGCCGTATGCTCTATCTCCCCTTCCCTGCTTCCATCCTCAAATCCTTTACCTCTCCCCCAGAATCGCTTGTACCTGTTTTATAAGTAAGGGACGAATGGAAAATAAGATCTCCGCATCGTTTTCTCCATTTGCTGCTTCCCCCCTCAACTCCTCTACCACCCCGCCTCACTTTCCCTCGCCTCCCTTACTCATGCCCATAAGGTGTTACCATCTGTACCTCTCTCCATTCAACCCTTCCCCCTTCAGGTCCTCCATCTCTCTCCTTTGACCGCCTCTTCAACCTCGACTCACTGGAAGCTCACACATCCCCTTGCCTTGTAGCCTTGCTGCAGCATGTTGCAAATGGTTTGAGGCACCAATAAATACTGTCATCGCTCGGATAGTAGACATATATGTCTTATCTCGTACACTGCTCAAGGAAAACAAATGAAGCCTAAGGGAATTGAGGGCCACAAAACAAGCAGCACTGTTTGTTATCAGTGTAATAATAATACACGGTACGGTACAAGAGAGAAGGAAAAGGAAGAGAAACAATAATATCATAGAGCAGAAAGTGGTACTACGGTATAACGCAGAGTGTGGACAACAAGGGGAGTGACAATAACAAGAGGGAAGAAGAAACCCCCCCACAGCCCCCCCAAGGCCCCCCTACCCCCCAATCCTCCTCACAGCCCCCCACAGCCCCCCAGACCGCCCCCACTATCCCTGGCATGGCATGGTCCCCCTCTATCCCTGGCACGGCATGGTCCCCCCCTATCCCTGGCATGGCATGGTCCCCCCCTATCCCTGGCATGGCATGGTCCCCCCCTATCCCTGGCATGGCATGGTCCTGATCCTGGTCCTGGTCCCGGTCATGGTCCTGGTCCTGGTCTTGTTCCTGTTCCTGTTCATGTTCATGTTCCTGTTCCTGTTCATGTTGTCAGAAGGTGGCTGGAACAGTAACAAGACAGCAGGAACAGTAGCTGGACAGCAGTAACAGTAACAAGGTGGCCGTAGCAGTAACTGGGCGGCTGGAACAGTACCGGGCAGCTGGAGCGGTTACCAGGTGGGTGGAGTGGTAACCAGGCGGCTGGAGCGATAACCAGGCGGCTGGAACGGTAAGCAGGCAGCATGAACAGTAACCGGGCGGCATGAACAGTAGCCGGGCGGCAGGAACAGTAACCGGGCTTGCAGGGGCCAGGGCTAGGCCAAACCCACCCCGTGCCTAGCCCACACCCACCCCGCAGCTCTTATACATCGACACACGCACACAAGTACCGTACAAAACAAGAGCAAGGTGCATGTCCTTCCAAATATCCTACTTGTAGATGTGTCTCGTGTCTTGGCGGGGTGAGAAGGTCTCTTCACGGCGCCCTGCAGCGAGAGAAGGCCACCTGCGCAAGGCGGGGTGGGGAGGGGTGGCAGGATGGCAGGTGTGACAGCATGGCTCTCCGAGCCTCATCCAGACCAGAGCGGAGAGTGAACAGTGCAGGATGGGAAACAGTTGGGTGAACAGTGCGGGATGGGGAAACAGTGGGGTGAACAGTGCGGGATGACGAGTACAGAGCAAGGGAATGACGAGTGCAGAGCAAGGGAACGACGAGTGCAGAGCAAGGAAACGAGGAGTGCAGAGCAAGGGAACGACGAGTGCAGAGCAAGGGAACGAGAGCATAGGGGAAGGGGGCCAAGAGATGAGAGCATAGGAGAAGGGGGCCAGGAGAGTGGGGACCGTTGTCTCACCTCGTGCCTCACTGGCTTCGCCTTAGCCTCGCCGCACCGTTGCCCAGCTGCGCCCGTCACTGTCGGCAGAAACGAGCAAGGGCGGAAACGAGCAAGGGCGGAAACGAGCACGAGGACATGGCATGGCATGGTAATCGGGCGGCATGAACAGTAACGGGGCGGCAGGAGCAGTGACGGGCGGCAGGAGCACTGATCGGGCGGCACGAGCAGTGACGGGCGGCACGAGCAGTAACGGGCGGCACGAGCAGTGACGGGCGGCACGAGCAGTGACGGGCGGCACGAGCAGTGACGGGCGGCACGAGCAGTGACGGGCGGCACGAGCAGTGACGGGCGGCACGAGCAGTGACGGGCGGCACGAGCAGTGACGGGCGGCATGAACAGTGACGGGCGGCATGATCAGTGACGGGCGGCATGACCAGTGACGGGCGGCATGACCAGTGATGGGCGGCATGACCAGTGACGGGCGGCATGAACAGTGACGGGCGGCCTGAACAGTGACGGGCGGCCTGAACAGTGACGGGCGGCCTGAACAGTGACGGGCGGCCTGAACTGTAACCGGGCGGCGGGAACAGTGACGGGCGGCATGGACAGTGACGGGCGGCCTGAACAGTAACGGGCGGCATGAACTGTAACCGGGCAGCGGGAACAGTAACCAGGCTTGTAGGGGCCAAGGCTAGCCCAAACCTACCCCGTGCCTAGCCCAAACCCACCCCGCAACTCTTATATCGACACACGCACAAGTACCATACAAACAAGAGCAAGGTGCATGTCCTAATAAATATCCTACTTGTAAGTATGTCTCGTGTCTTGGCGGGGTGAGAAGGTCTCTTCACGGTGCCCCGCAGAAAGGAGAGAAGACCTTTCTGCGCAAGGCGGGGTGGGGAGGGATGGCAGGATGGCAGGTGTGACGGCATGGCGGATGGTTTAGAAACCATGGCAGAGGTTTAGGGTGCAGCACAGGTGAGTGGAGGGGAGCAGAGGTGAGTGGAGGGGAGCAGAGCACGTGAGTGAGTGAGGAGCAATAGGAGCGAGCGCGAGGGGCCTCACCTCACTGGCCTCAACAGGTCTGCCCAGAGCGCTCCAAGTCTGCCCCAACCCTTTTTGAGGTGCCTCAAAAATCTGCCCAGAGCGCTCCGAGTCTGCCCCAACCTTTCCGAGGAGAGGAGGTGAACAGAGGGAAGGAGAGGTTTTAGCATAGGGGCTGGCGGAGGGCGGAACGAGGAGGAGGGCGGAACGAGGAGGAAGGGCGCAACGAGGAGGAAGGGCGCAACGAGGAGGAAGGGCGCAACGAGGGGGAGGGCGGAACAAGGAGAAAGGGCGGAGGAACGAACAAGGGCAGAATGACGGAAGCGGAACGAGCAAGTGCGGAACGAGCAAGGGCGGAACGAGCAAGTGCGGAACGAGCAAGGGCGGAACGAGCAAGTGGGGAATGAGCAAGGGCGGAACGAGCAAGTGTGGAACGAGCAAGTGCGGAACGAGCAAGGGTGGAACGAACAAGGGCGGAATGAGCAAGGGCGGAACGAGGAAGCATTTTTCTCACCCTTATCCGAGTTTCCCTAGCAATTGTCTTCACCGCCTCTTGCATACGCCGCGTGTCGCGTCGCGCACGTTTTATAAGAAGCGCCCGTGGCGCGGGTCCGCAGCGCACATCACGTTCTTCGCGTCCCGCATCTGGCGCGTGAGCTCGGAAACCGTCAGCGCGTGTGCGCTACTGCTGCGAGCTGCGCGACGTGAGCGGCGCGAAGCCGAGCACAAAGGAGTGGAGGCGCAGGAAGGGGAGGGGATTAGGTTGACGGCGGGAAACGGCAGCGCTCGGTTCTCTCCCTCCATCCGCGAGTATAGCTCCTGAACCCGCTTTAGATCCGCTGGAGTTTGCTCCAACTCCCGCTTGCTCCGCGATGTCTTTCCCTGTACCTGCGGGGGCGAATGAACAAGCAGATTCGCATGAATAAGCGCACGTGGAACGAACGAGTATACTTGTGTATGTAAGATTCACATGAGCACGCACACATGCATGCTACCCTTTGGCAGCTGCAGCAGCTTATCTTTCAGTCGTCTCACTCACTTGCCCAGCCACCTCTACTTGAAGAAAATCTTACCTGCCCGCCCACCTCTTCTTCAAGCTCTCACCTGCGTGGCCACCCCTGCTTCAAAATCTCACCTGCCCGGCAATCTCTACTCCAAACTCTCACCTGCCCAGCAATCTCTACCCCAAACTCCGCGGGAAACCGCGGGAAGGAAACCATGGGAAACCATGGGAAAGAGGGGAAAACGGCGGGAAAAGGCAGGAAAAGGAAGAAATCAGCAAGGAAATGGCACTTGGCCGTGCCTGGGGCGAGGAAAAGGCACTTGGCCGTGCCTGCGGCGCGGAAAGGGCACCTTGCTAGGCCTGCAGCGTGGAAAAGGCACTTCGCCGCGCCTCTCAGCCGGCTGTGCCGAGCCTCTCACCAGGCAGTGCCGAGCCTCTCATGGCGCGCAATCCGCCGCCTGCCACGTGGTGCGCGATCCGCCGCCTGGTGATGCTCGTGTGCTGGTGGGAGAGGTATAGGAGAGTGCTTTTCCTCCATCAGATCAGCACCAGTCGTGTCGCGTCGCTGTCAAAGAGAAAACAAAGAAAGAAGATCATCATTACAAAAATAACAGAATGATTTGACGCAAAGCTGAATACAAAAGGAGCCCGCATTACTATACAGACCGGCCAGCAGGGAGAGCGTGATTTGTCGGGTGAAAGGAATCACGTTCTGCACAGCACGCGCGCGCGCGGTCACCCTTGTGCAGGCCGCGCGCGTTCACACCTGCGTCTTCCAGCCCGGGTAGCTGCCGGCACGTGTCGCAGCCGCCACAAGGGAGGGAAATTCGATCCGGCGACTGCAGCCGACTGAATCATGTACGATAGCGAGTACGGAGCGAGGCTGTGTTTGGTGTCTCAGGTTCCCGCCGCCGCAGATCTGTGGTGATCCGCAGCGCCACCTTAGAGACATTTCAACCATTTTCTCCGAGGAACGAGTCGTTTAGGGCGAGCCTGCAGTGCTGTTGCTCGTGCGCCGCCACATCCTGATGGCGAGAAGCTACAAAGAGACTAGAGATGGCTCGCAGAGGTGTAGAGAAGCTACGATAGTGATTAAAGCAAGGCACGTAAGCAAGGCGAGGAATGTCAAAATGAGAGTAGTAGCTACTCGAGCAGGGTAGGATGAAAGCCATATGATGTCACGAGAAAAATGGTAGGGGAGCACGAGTACACGTTTCTCTGCGCTCAATCTGCTCTAAGCTTCCACCTGCACCTGCTCCGCGCTTCTGCCAGCTACTATTCGCCACGCCTGGGGGTGATGAAAGCGTCAGCGCGGAAGTGGGATTGCCTACTGTTTCCATCGCGATTCCCCCAACCTGCTGATCGCGTCGCGCTCGTTACGTACCGCTGCCGCTGCCCACCACGCCAACAGCGAGGCGCCGCGCAAGGGACGAAGACACGGGCCGCTTCTCCTCTTGGCAGCTGTATCGGTAATAAACTTTCTGAAAACGACGAATCCTTACTGCTGGTTTCTAACGAGGGCGGTCATTTCGGGCGTGTCGCCTCTACACTAGCGAGGCGCGCAGGAAGAAACGCTACGGTGCTAAGGCGATGCATGAGCTTGACTGGTGGTCAAGTAAGAATAGAAGGCACGCTATGGTGCTAATTAGCAAGGCGAAGCGAGGAATGTGTTGTGAGGGAATCGAAAGTAGGTGCGGAGCGGGGTGGAATGGAGGTGTACGAAAATCCCAAGCCACCCAGCCCACAAGATGGTGTGTAACATCTAGGGCAGAAGGAAACAAATAGGATGCACGACTCTATTCGTGGTTAGAAATTTGAAATTCTGGAACACTCCGCACAAAACGGAAAACGTCACGGTTGGGTGTACAGGATGGACCTAACCGAGAAGGAAAAAAAAAAAAAAAACGTGGGGGGGGTGGGGAACACCCCACACGTAGGATGAAAACTTGGTCCCAGGCTCTCAGAGTCACATACTCCTAGTAGTATCGATTCGCACAGCGGTTCCTGAAGCGCGGTACCGATTTGAAGCGCGGTTCCGCGTTGCACAACTTTTCCGTCAGCTGGTAATTTGCAGGGTATACAGTAAAATATGCTTTTGTTCATGACATATTAATTTGATATGTTTTTACTGAGTTGAAGAATCAACAATCGAGAATATGAAAAGACAAAACACACATAACATAATTACTAGCTACATAAATGGGAATTCCAATCATGTAAATGTAATACATCTGAATGGTACAATGCATGGCAACATTATCGATACGCTAATTGATATATCGACGAGGACGACGACGATGACGACGCGTGACAAGGACGAGGACAAAGGTGACGAGGAGGAGGAGGAGGAGGAGGAGGAGGAGGAGGAGGAGGAGGAGGAGGAGGAGGAGGAGGAGGAGAAGGAGGAGGAGGAGGAGGAGGAGGAAGAGGAGGAGGAGGAAGAGGAGGAGGTGGAGGAGGAGGAGGAGGAGGAGGTGGAGGAGGAGGAGGAGGAGGAGGAGGAGAGGAGGAAGAGGAGGAAGAGGAGGAGGAGGAGGAGGAGGAGGAGGAGGAGGAGGAGGAGGAGGAGGAGGAGGAGGAGGAGGAGGAGGAGGAGGAGGAGGAGGACGAGGAGGACGAGGACGAGGAGGACCAAGAGGAGGAGGAGGAGGAGTAGGAGGAGGAGGAGGAGGAGGAGGAGGAGGAGGAGGAGGAGGAGGAGGAGGAGGAGGAGGAGGAGGAGGAGGTGGAGGAGGAGGAGGAGGAGGAGGAGGAGGAAACACAAGCACAAGCAGCAAACTGTAAGTAGGAAATGCTCAACAGAAGTAGGACACACCAGCACAAGCACAAGCAGCAAACTGTAGTAGTGAGCATCCGCCTCACTATCGAGCAGCAACAGGAAATGCTCAGCAGCACCATCACGCATGCAAGCAGCAAACGACAGTTGTGAGCATCCACCTTACCATCAAGCAGCACCTAAAAATGCTCATCAGTAGTAGGACACACCAACACGAGCACGAGCAGCAAACTGTGGTAGTGACCATCCTCCTCACCATCGAGCAGCAAGAGGAAATGCTCTGCAACACTAGGACACACCAGCACGAGCACAAGCAGCAAATGGTAATTGTGAGCATCCGCCTCACCGTCGAGCAGCAGCAAAAAATACTAAGCAGAAGTAGGACACATCAGCGCGAGCACAAGCAGCAAACGGTAGTAGTGAGCATCCGCCTCACCATCGAGCAGCAACAGGAAATGCTCAGCAGCAGTAGGAAACACTAGCATGAGCCAAGCAGCAAACTGTAGTTGTGAGCATCCGCTTCACCATCGAGCAGCAACAGGAAATGCTAAGCAGCAGTAGGAAACACCAGCACGAGCACAAGCAGCAAACGGTAGTTGTGAGCATCCGCCTCACTATCGAGCAGCAACAGAAAATGCTCAGCAGAAGTAGGAATCACCAACACGAGCACAAGCAGCAAACTGTAGTAGTGAGCTTCCGCCTCACCATCGAGCAGCAACAGGAAATGCTCAGCAACACCATCACGCGCACAAGCAGCAAGCGGCGGTTGTGAGCATCCGCCTCACCATTGAGTAGCAACAGAAAATGCTCATCAGTAGTAGGACACACCAGCACGAGCACAAGCAGCAAAATGTGGTAGTGAGCATCCGCCTCACCATCGAGCTGCAAGAGAAAACGCTCAGCAGCAGTATGATACACCAGCACGAGCACAAGCAGCAGATGGTAGTTGTGAGCATCTCCCTCACCATCGAGCAGCAACAGAAAATGCTCAGCAGAAGTAGGACACACCAGCACGAGCACAAGCAGCAAACGGTACTAGCGAGCATCCGCCTCACCATTGAGCAGCAACAAGAAATGCTCAGCAGCAGTAGGACACACCAGCACGAGCACAAGCAGCAAACGGTAGTTGTGAGCATCCGCCTCACCATCGAGCAGCAACAGGAAATGCGCAGCAGCAGTAGGAAACACCAGCACAAGCACAAGCAGCAAACTGTAGTAGTGAGCATCAACATCACCATCGGGCAGCAACAGGAAATGCTCAGCAGCAGTAGGAAACACCATCATGAGCACAAGCAGCAAACGGTAGTTGTGAGCATCCGCATCACCATCGAGCAGCAACAGGAAATGCTCAGCAGCTGTAGGAAACACCATCACGAGCACAAGCAGCAAACGGTAGTTGTGAGCATCCGCATCACCATCAAGCAGCAACAGAAAATGATGAGCAGCAGTAGGCAACACCAGCACAAGCACAAGCAGCAAGCGACAGTTGTGAGCATCCGCCTCACCATCGAGCAGCAACAGAAAATGCTCGGCAGTGGTAGGAAACACCAACATGAGTATAGGCAGAGAAGGAGGAGGAGGAAGAGGAGGAGGAGGAGGAGGAGGAGGAGGAGGAGGAGGAGGAGGAGGAGGAGGAGGAGGAGGAGGAGGAGGAGGAGGAAGAGGAGGAGGAGGTTGAGTGCAATGCTGGGCCGTTGTGTGCAGTCATTGGTGGTGCTGAGTGCCCGTGAGCGGTGACACGCGGTGATGAGCGCTGATTAGGTTGGGAGCGGTGTCGAGTGGCTGTGAGCGGCTCTCGGTGAGTCAGAGTGGCAGTGAGCGGCGCTGAGCTGTTGTGTGTGGTCATTGGTGGTGCTGAGTGCCGGTGAGTGGTGACGAGATGTGACGAGTGGTGATGAGCGGCTCAGAGAGGTGCGGAGTGGTGATGAGCGGCATTGAGCAGTGCCGAGTGGTGATGAGCGGCTGTGAGTGGTGCAGAGTGCTGCAGAGCGGTTCAGAGCAGCAGTGAGCGGTGCTGGGCCGTTGTGTGCGGTCATTGCTGGTGCTAAGCGCCCGTGGGTGGTGAGGAGTAGTGATGAGCCACTCTGAGAGGTGCCAAGTGGTGATGAGCCGAATGGTGATGAGCGGCTCTGAGCGGTGCCGAGTACTGCAACAAGGTTCTGAGCGGCAATGAGAAGTATTGGGCCTTTGTGTGCGGTCATGGTGGTGCTGAGCGCCCGTGAGTGGTGACGAGCGGTGATGAGGGGTGATGAGCGACTGAGAGAGGTGTCCAGTAGTGATGAGTGGCTCTGAGCGGTGCCGAGTGCTGCAGAGTGGTTCAGAGTGGCAGTGAGCGGTGTTGGGCCGTTGTGTGAGAGTACGACGGCTTATGCCAGCTATGCTTGCTTGCCTCTACTTTATCATGCTATTTCTAGCATAGGATACTCATATGCATGCATGAATTGCTTGATTTCCTAGGCTAGGTGCTTTCCTATAATTTATTATAGTTATAGCACCGAGCTAGGTTGCGTGCACCGAATTCTGGCTTTTCGGTTGCCACCGAATTGCCTTCTACCGAATTCGGTAAGGATCTGTTCAGGACGCTTCGCGACCCGCGGAACCTTCGCGTAACACCTGGTTACAGGGCCTTGTGTCGAGCCTATATATAGCCTCGTGTTGTACCCAGGTGGACATTCAATTCAATTCAATTCAATTTGAATCATCTTTTCTGAGCTCGATCCTAGATCCTCACACTTGGTAATCAAAGCGGGTTTACACGCGAGGTCTTCAACCGCTTAGTTCCGGCCTTTAAAAACCGTGGGGGCGACACTGTTACGTGGACCGGCTCTCGAATGGATTTACTACACCGACGTAGCCCGCGGGGAGAAAACGTGGCAGCAGTTTCGGGCACATTTAATCGAACGTTTCGAACCAATTAATACAACCTACATGGCGCGGCAGCAGATACACCGACACAAGCAATACAGTAGTGTAACACAGTACACGCAGCAGATGGAGTTACTGTTCAACCGCATCACCGACCTGACCGAAGGCGAAAAAATCCAGGCGTACACCGAAGGATAAAAAATGGAGATTCGGCGGCAGGTGATTGCGGCGAATTACAACAGCTACAGAGACATCGTGCGTGCTGCCGAGCGATACGACGCGCTGACTCGAAGTCAACCCGAAACACGACGCTTCACGCCGAACCGTACATTCGGCACGGAGCGATCGGCACCCCCCACGTTCACCGAACCGATGGATATCGACAAATACGACGCGAAGCAGCAGCCGACAAAATGCGAATTTTGCGGCGCAGCAGGACATCAGTTTTTGTCGTGCTACAAAATGAAGAAAGCACGTGCGGCACTCCGGGACAGAAACAGTGGAGCACCCCCGAAGTCAAAAAACGGGAATCGCCAGTAGCCGCGGATCGACCTGGCGATCGCGTAAAGATCCGAAAAGCAGGAAAAGGCGACGACGTGGCGACTTCGGAGCAGGTGAAAAAAGGAGAAAATGATGGCGCGAATTTAAAACGTCATGACGGGCCGGCATCAGGGGAAATCGCCGAGGCGAATGGAGGCTCCGCGAAAAAAGACTCTGCACCGACCGGGAAACTCCAGCCGAACACCCACGAAAGTAAGAATTCGTTAAAAGTATCCTATAAAGATGCTCTAACGAAGAATATTGCTTCTCGTGGTTTACAAGCCTTCAAAAAATTCAGGGGAGGTCTAGAGGCCAAGAAAAAGCCTTTAGAAATTATTCAGGTACCTGAGAAGTTGGGCAAAGTACTACGGAGCGTAGAAAAGGGTCGTGCGTTCCGTGGAGTTAATATTCTCTCCCCGCAGCACAGTGTTAAGGCTCCCCGTCGCCCACAGGTGAAGCCTACACAGCTGCCAAGGCTTAGAGGAGACATCCAGGCTCAGGAAAAATTATACAAGCCTCGGAAAAATCCTCCTACCCCCCAGGTGAAGTTGGAAAACGCTGAGTCAGGTATAGGAAAAAGGGAAGGTATTAAGTTTGATGTACCCTATGATCCTGTTAACGAGACCCTCTTTGGCTACTCAGCACAGCAGAAACCACTACTCCTCGAGGTGTTATGCAATGGGAGACGCCTCCAGGCACTGGTGGACAGCGGTGCATCTCACTCGGTGTGTGACCGCGGAGCATTGGAGAAAATTGGAGAGAAGGCGGAAGAGACCCAGTTTTCAGCAACCATGGTGGACGGTACGAAGCTTCCTATCCACGGCGAAGCATCACTGCAACTGCATATAGGTGCGTTGAGGTGGAAGCCGAAGCTACCAGTCACCAACATCAAAGGATTATATTTTATCTTGGGGCGAGATTTCCTGAAGCAGTTCAACCCCGAGATCGATTGGGTCAACAGCAAGGTGTGCATCTACAACAACGGGAAACGAGTGGAGCTGCGAAGCTGGACGGATACAGGGGACGTACCTGAAACGACACTGGCACGGTTCGAACAGACGGTGAACAAGAGTAACACGGGTTACCTAGCACTGGTTATGGCAGCAGCAGAGGAGGAGAAGCCGAGTTCCGAGCTACCTGCAGCAGTGAAAGAGGTCTTGGAGCAGTACAAGGATATAATGCCCGACGACCTACCTGCGGGCGTACCTCCAGCACGCACCCACGAGCACAAGATCGTGGAGGAACCAGGTGCGAAACCCGTCTCACGTGCACTATACCGACTGAGTCCGACTGAACTGACAGACATGAAAAAACAGATAGAGTATCTACTGGACAGACAACTGATCCGCCCATCCACCTCTCCCTACGGCGCACCAGTTCTCTTCACTCCAAAACCAGACGGCAGTCTACGGATGTGCATCGACTACCGCGCACTGAACAAACAGACAGTCAAAAACAAATATCCCATACCGCGCATAGACGACCTACTCGATCAACTGCGTGGAGCAACAGTATTTTCGAAACTGGACCTACGATCGGGCTACTGGCAGATCAAGATGGCAGACAACTCCGTCCACAAGACAGCGTTCCGTACCAGATACGGCTCCTACGAATACTTGGTGATGCCGTTCGGACTCTGCAACGCACCAGCAACGTTTCAGGCGGAGATGAATCACATCTTACGACCCCTGCTGGACGAATGTGTGGTGGTGTACCTGGACGACATTCTCATCTACTCCAAGAACATGAAGGAGCACGTGGAGCATCTGTGGAAGGTGTTCGAGATCCTGCGGAAAAACAAGTTCTACGTGAAGCTGTCAAAGAGCGACTTCGCCCTGAAGAAGGTGCAGTTTCTCGGGCACATGGTGAGTGCCGAGGGCGTACACGTGGACCCACGGAAGATCGAAGCCGTCAAGAAGTGGAAAGTACCAGAGAACGTGAAGGAGTTACAGTAGTTCCTAGGCTTCGCCAACTACTACAACAGGTTCGTGCCGCAGTACGCTAAGATAGTAGCGCCACTGACCGACCTACTGAAAAAGGATACGCCCTACAAATGGGATACCCTTCATCAGCAAGCCATGGAGCAGCTGCAGACAGCACTGACTACAGCGCCAGTACTCATCTTGCCGGATCCAGACAAGGACTACGTGGTGGAAGCAGACGCTAGTGACCAAGCAGTCGGAGCAGTACTGATGCAGGATCACGGACGCGGTTTGCAGCCCATCGCCTACCTCAGTAAGAAGCTACACAGAGCAGAACTAAACTACCCCATTCACGACAAGGAAGCATTAGCGATAGTCATAGCCTTCAAGGCGTGGAGGTGTTACCTAGAGGGAGCCAAGACTACAGTCTATACTGACCACTGCAGTCTCAAATACCTGAAGTCACAGCCGACACTCTCACGACGACAGGTGCGGTGGGTGGACTTCCTGGAAACTCACTTCCACTACGACATCGTCTACAAGCCCGGGCTACACAACAAGGCAGACGCGTTGAGCCGCCCCGGACATGTAGCAGGCATCCAGCTCGACGGGATGAACCCTCTGCTCAAGGGTCTATTCCAACATGGGTACTCCGCGGACGCAGAGATTGCTACAGCACAGACCAAGAAGCTATTACAGTGGGAGAAAGACTTAGCTGTAAGGAAGGGTTCAGGAAAGATTTGGGTACCGAATTACGCCCCGCTACGGCAGATCCTGTTGGAGGAGTTTCACGACGTACCTTACGCGGGACATTTCGGGAGCAACAAGACGTTAGCAGGGATAGCGAAGTATTACTACTGGCCCGGGATGGCAGCAGACGTGCAGCAGTTCGTCACCTCTTACGACACGTGCCAGCGGATGAAGAGCAGCAAGCAGAAAAAAGCAGGGTTACTTCAGCCTCTACCCGTACCGGAGCAGCCATGGCAGGACGTTAGCCTCGACTTCATCACAGGGCTTCCTTCGACCTCACGGGGACATGATTCCATCCTCGTGGTGATCGATAAGTTCTCCAAAATGGGTCACTTCATACCGACCAACGCCACAGCTACAGCTGAAGCAACTGCTCGACTCTTCTTCGACCGCATCATCACCATCCACGGCATCCCCGCTACACTCATCTCAGACAGAGACCCCAAATTCACGAGTAAGTTCTGGAAGGAGCTCATGGGACTGTTGGGGACAAAGCTTGCAATGTCTTCAGCATACCACCCCCAGACTGACGGACAGACAGAGCGACTCAATCAAGTGGTTGAACAGTTACTGCGCACAGCTTGCAAGGACGACGTCAGCCACTAGGACACACAGTTACCAACCCTAGAGTTCGCTTACAACAACGCATCACA